GATCTGTTGATTCTTTGTTGTAGGATGATGATGATGATCTCTTTAAAGCATCCAGTAAACCAAAGAAAACAGTGAAGTCACTCGGCGATGATGACCTGTTCGGGGATTCGGGGAATATTTTTGACGATGTTCCAAGTAAACCGAAAGAAAAGAAGAAAAAGAAAAAAGCAGCTGCAGCAGCTGGAGGTAACACGTGATACACTAAACCTTATTAGAACTGTGTACATTAGTATAAATACTTTAAAATAACAGTCATTACATTAATCCGTGAAGATCAAAGGAGTCCCCTTAGTAGTGTACTAACTAGTCACGGGTTAAGGACTGCCCGTAGTAGTGTACTAACTAGTCACGGGTTAAGGATCCTAAGAACCAAATTGCTATTTTTCCAGAGTCGATATTTGACGATACTCCAACAGAGAAGACAACAACCAAGAAAACTAAAACAAAAAAGAAAACCGGMGACAAGAAACCCGCAAAAACAACTTCTATATTTGACGACGACGCTCCTAACATATTCGACGATCCTCTGAACGCTACAGCAAACAAATAATGACTTYTAAACAATGCAGTCTTTAGCACGCGCTTCTGGTAACGTTTATGAAACTAATTTTTATAGATTCGTTGTCCGCTTCATCCAACCAACCCCACACCACCCCCCACCCGCCCAACCCCCTCCAAATTCAACATCTCCTTATACAGAACATTGAGGTATTTTTAGACAAATTTGTACATTGCACCATGCCCCTAGAATTTATATATTATATATATATATGATTTGAAATGAAATGATGATAATTAAATATCAATTTTGTAAAGAATTCCTAATAAAAATATACAGTGACCGTGACTAAAACTGGATGGTTTTATGCCACGTTCTTGTAAGACTGTTTTCTTGTTGTCTCCGACCAGTCAATGGCACACGTCAATATTCATACAATCTTCTAATTTAAAAGGAACTTATATTTTGTCAAAGTCTAATCCCAGAGCGTCACTTGTGTCTCGGCTTGCCAGTACGTGTCTCTTGAACAAGATTATCTTTACTACAGGATTATCCACAATCTTCGTTTGGCGTGATCTGGTGTTTACATATATCTATGYTATAATCATATTATTTGTAAATTGTATTAACAGTGTTGATAAAGCTATGATACTTGCTACAGGACGCGAACAGACAAGAAACAACAAGTACCAACTTGTTCCATGTGTTCGTCTTYTATTTTCAAAACTTGCCAGCACATTTTTTTCCCAAAATTCTCGTACTTTGTGTAAAAGACGGTGCGGTTGGGCATTTCCTGAACCACTTCGTCGTAACAACACGCAGAACAATCAGTGTTATCCCAGAAAACCAGGCCAAAAAACTGGACCATTCCAGAAGTTGTAGTTACATCCTTGGAACTAGTCCGCGGTGTTTTACAAACGTATCTCTTATCAAGACCACGGTCCCATTCTCACCGTCAATTTACGTCCAATTCAATTTTGTCTTAACCGTCTTAATCTATCAATGCATTTAGTGTATTTTATAAACATTAAATGACAAGAGAACACATTTTTCGGTGTAAAACTATTGAATAGCTTTTCTATTCAATTTTGTGCGTGTTATCTGGCTAAAAGTATCGGGCCGATTGACGTGGAGTTCAAGGACAACCATTGCACCTATTTCACCATTCTGTGGCTTTCATCTTGTATCAAATCCAAGGATCAAGATCTCCGGAAATACAGCTGATATGATTAATGACTCGGATRCTAGGATTACATATCCACGGGAATATGATCTGATATATTCCCATTATATACCAGTGTAATAGTATTATTTTTAGTGTACCGCATAACATGCAGTACGATTTCATTCTGATTGACAGGTATATATTCTCAGTGAAGAAGCTGTTCGTCAGATCGACCACCTCTGTGACAACGCCTTTGCTCTCATTTTTTGTTGTTGTTTTTGTTTCGGTAATTTCAGGCTTCATCACCCTGCCGTCTCCGATGACACGCAAAGGACCTGTGAACGTCCTCTATGTTTTATTCATTGCAATATACCTCTTTCAAAATTTGTCACGTTTGAATTTTGAATCCATGCATGACTAACAAAGGAATTATAACTAAAAAAATCCCAAACACCAAAGTACCAAACCAAAGACTGAGACTTTTCCGGTCTTTGTTTGACACGCACTTCGAGTTYTCTGTGAATTTTGAAAACGACAAGGATTTAGAAGTGCMAAAAAGAAAAAAAAATTGCAATTTTGATTTTTGGACAACAGACGTCTGCAGTTACTATAGCCTATTAATAGTTGGTCCTTTTACTCGTAATAGTTGGTCCTTTTACTCTAGTAATATTTGATTCTTTTACTCTAGCAATATTTGGTCTTTTTTGACCGCCACATTGGTCGTCTGGAAAAAAGTCTGAATTTTGCGTAGAATGCCTCGGAAAAAATAATTTTACGACGACGACTGAGTAGTGATAAACCTTGCTCAAGGGTTGGGCCACTGACATATAACTACCCCACGCATGTTTTGTGCATTTAACTAATATCGATGAAAAGTTTCCTCTAACGATGAAATAATGAAATTGTGCTTCGAGGTGGTCCACAGACTGACGATTTATTTGCATTCGATATTGAAAACTAAGTGGGTTTTCTTGCGGAAGCTAGAGACTGGTACCTATTCAGAAATAAAGCATTCTTTTGTTGTAATATATATGCTGTAATTACTATTCCAGAAGACTTGATCGGACCGGATGGAACTACATTTGACAATGTTGGCGGCTCTTAATCAAATACGGAAAATTACAAGGAAAAGTTGAAAATCGATYGAACTTTTTCACATTATGCTGAACTCGGATGACTAAAAATACTGAAGACAAAGACAGTGATTCTAAAAAAAGRCTTAATTGTTTCATTTTGGTTCTGTTTATTATAAAACGATATCAGATGCTTACACCTGAGATCAACTAGTTTTTCAGACAATTAACTTAGATGGCGGGGGAAAAGCGCATATGAATTGAGGCATTAAAGAGCTGACATACTGTGCCATGATTGGTCAATTCCAAGCACCTGCGTTCGGTTATTTTGCGGGTTAATTATTCATGATTGGTGATTTCCCGCCAGAAAGACCACGTCTGGACATCTCAGACGGTTTGCCGACTCTTTGAAATGTCAAAATTAAAGCAATATTTAATAAAGTGTTTTTGGGTGTTTTCTTATTGCAGTATGTCTTGCGTGGGATTAAATCATACTAACAAGGCTGATATGCTACTGCCTCTTGTCCACGTAGAAATTACCTTCTAATTTTCACTTGGCGCCAAAGATAAATTAACCCTAAGATCACCAGCGATTTTGAATGCGGCTAAAATTGGCTTTTGTTTGAGTTTTGTCTGTTGTCAGTCTACTGTAGTCATCATCGATTCAAATCATACTCSTTTTATTATTGATTTCTCTAAATTCATAAAGCGCGACCATGTTATTTGATCACGCCTAAATGTGAACTGGTCGAAAATCTGGCAAATAAATAATTTGAAAATCCGGCACCAATGCAGATACACAAACTGTTACCATGCAGSGAACTWTATTCACATCCACTTGAATGTCACAGAGATTTTTCTTCCATCTAAATATTTWYTTTGTGTTTCCCAAACTAGTAAGAATAAATCATTGACGTGYTTCTTGTCAAAATAGTTATTCCACGATCTATTTATAAATTCACTCCGTCGATGATAACTACGCCGCAAATCTTTCATGTTTTTCGAGGGTGTTTTTATTTTTATGTTTTATGTTTGTAAAGAATTTTTCTTGCAACAACAGTGGCAGAAAGCCAACTGAACACACCCCCATACTCACTATAACACCATGAGATAGTTACATGGACCGGGAATCAAAATTATTTACATTTTATCACAAAAACGTAATCTGCAAGTTCCTGTTAAAAAGCTTGAGTTGTGGCATCAATTGACCTCGTTGAAACTTACATTTCAAACATTTTTCTCCGCCATTCACTTCTCGATTGATTTTAGAAGCAAGACACAACAATTGCACGCTTCAACAGGTTGAATTTCTTTTACTGGTAACTTGAACWGGTTTTTCAAAGAAAGTATACATTTTTCGTGTGTACAAATCAATTTGGTGGCTTTTTAAGCTTGTAGTCTTTGTTCGATTTCTTTTGTTCTTTCTCTCGTTTTGTGAGCCACCGGTCTAACGACACGTGCTTGTGCAATTAGTAAAATTTTTACTCAAAACTTCAATTCAAACAGCATAAATGCTATTAAACAAATCAATGGTTCTCCTCTTGATTACATGTAATAATAATCAATAAGAAAAATGTTTTTTGAATATAAATTGGCCACCAAAAATKCTTTGTCGATCAGTCGTATATTTTCGGATTACGAATACTACAAATAGGTAAAAACACTCTGTGTTTGTTTTAAAAGCTGCGGTATTTGGCAGTGTGACGACCTCGTGACTATAAAAAATGCAAGCTAATTCCGTTTTATACCAAAGCTCACATGAAATTTGTTTTTATTCGCTCATAGCTATTTATACCCGCTGAACGTAATTCGTCAAATCCGGAAACGTCGATCGCTATCGACGACATATTACCCACAATTCAGCCCGGTCTTTTACGCGCCATTTATGTTCAGTCATGCGTGTTGACGCGGGAAAAGCCATTCATTTCTAAAGTCACGTGAGTTAGAGTAAAATCAACCAATCAGAAGATCGATACTAGAGTATGTTGCCATTCAACATCATGCTTTTGTTTAATTGACCAATCAAAAGCGAAGGAAACATACGCTGTTGTTGTTGTCAAAATGCAAATAGCTATTTTTTTCGACCTCGTGTAAAAGCTAGAAATTTTTTGCGTCCCACCCACCAAACTTGTAAAGGCTTTGAATTTATGGTTCCAAATCACCAGAATCTCTCTGAAAAATATGCCTGAATGCGAAACAGAACACACAGACTTCAACGAGATCGATGTTCACAGAAAAAAGTCACGCTTTAACGCGGGAAAAGTTTGGAGTTCGCCKAGTCCTGGCAGTCGTACTCTAGAACTTGAAGGTGTTATTCAGGTCTTAAAAGAATACGATTCCATCGAAGGCAATGACATTAACTGCTGTATTTGTGGTAAGCTTTTCTCTTGAAAAAAATCTTAATTTATTTGCAGTATATTTAAGTTTATGAGAGATATTTTTGAGCGAGTACGTGGCGCCGTAATTCCATTCATTGGACTCATGTTTACATCAAAGTTACGATAGGAATACGCCGGCTTGTGAGAAAAAAATTTCTAAAAAATCTGTTACGTTGGATAAAGCGCTGCTCTTTATAAATCACGCTCCTAGTGACTAAGTTAACAAGTTAAGATATATTTTTTTGCATTTTTAACAGAGGCATAATTTTTGTAGAATATTTTCGACTATAAAATGTTGTAACGAAATTATATAGCTGAATAAACAAACACATTCGTGCAGTTGTATTTTCCCTCTCGAAGTTTTTTCAAATAAGTTATATTTTTCTAATTATTTTGCTTTAAATAGAATACAGGCATTATCCTAAGCATGTAGATCGTTAGTTTGAGCGTTTATTTGTCTCGCTGTATTTTTAATAATTTTTTTGTGCGACTTGTAGGCAAGTCATGTGAGATTGCCTCGTGTTTCGATCCCATACTGAAAGCACTCGATTTTTTTCCTCCTTATGACCAAACAAACTCCATTTTTAGAATTAATTGCCGTATGAATCACAATTTTATTCTTATTTTTAAACAAAACGCACCGAAATAATACAATATGAAGTTTATAAATTTTTTTCTTGCTATAAATATTTTCTTAAGTCTTGTAGTGACAGTTGGTTAAAACCCTCAATCGACATGTACTGACTTGTGGAATCACATTTTTATTGTTTTAGGTAAACTCTATAAAAGTAAAGTGTGTTTTACCAAGCATCTATGGGAGCATAGCATCTATTGGGATACTTTTGACGGCGTCAAGAATCAAGAGCGAGTCCTATCTATTCAAGCAGCGATTATTCTGTCACAGCCGTATTTAGAGTTCTTGCTTGTAACGTCGCCGTCGTCAAATGAAAAGCGAAAAGAGGATGTTGTCAAAAATAGTGGGCCGAAAAAGATGGCGTCGAGAAAGAGAAGTCGAGGATCAGAGTCTTCTGTAGATTTATAGCTTTTTCTTAGTGTGGTAAATAGTATATTATTGAGTAGTTACTATAAAATGTACATGTACGCATATAAATATATATACATATTATATATACATATATTATCATGCCTCTTGTGTATATTACACAGCGCGTTATGGTATGTCATTTGACAGCACGATAATTATACCAATATATCAGTTAAAAAAAGACGTAATTTTTGACATTGTATGAAAAATAATAATAAATTGATGTTAGAATTGTTATGTTTCGATTGAAGCAACGTTTAGTAAAAAAAAACTTGTACAATAGTAAGATATATATTGTAAATGAGGTTTCATTTGTAAATCATTATTTTGAAGTCCAGAATATAGGACTTTTTGACCTAAAAGAGGACGTGTAATAAAATATGTTTGAAAGAATTAGACTTATTTCATATATCTGTATTACCCCAGGGGGTGTTGCTATAAAGTTACTTAAACGGCAAGGGAATATTACCGACAAATTCCAAAACGAAATCCGTGCGAATTCTGTCGATTTCGTTGTATCACAAGCGAGGAGATGTAAGTTAAAATGCGCGTTGATGTACTTAAGTTAAGATCAGAACAATACATCAAGAAGAGTTGTTTGTTTTGTACCTCCTTTGAGAATTAACGATTGGGATTTAGGAATGATAAGAATTTACTTGAAAGTAGGGTTAAATAAGGTTGTTTGCGTTGAATCATTTTGCCCTCGACACTTCTCCAAAAGTGCATTTAATGTAAAAGTGTTATAGCTACCGTAAYAGTATGAAGTTTGGATAGTTACATGAAAGCGACTCTGACAGCCAAGAACAGAATTCTCTAATCCTTAGGATCAAGCCTTGAATTCAGCCAAAATAATAATGTTTAGAAGTCAATAAATGCATTATAAGCACGGAGGAGTACAAAAGGATAAGTTTACAGCGCGTTGTTTGTATCCATSTCCTGTTGATTATCATTCTTGTGAAGACGACTCAAATCAACATGTGTGTACATGCTAATAAGATGTCTGAACAGTCTTCCCTCAGCCTATATATTTCTGCCACTCATTCACGAGTTCCTTTAGAGAGATTTAATAAATCAAATGAGCTAAAGATGAGAAGACTACATTATTTTTTTCTCGACCGTGACTGAATAATTTTTTTCACATTTCAACAATGCGTCAAGTGTTTTTGTATAAATATATGTCAATGTATGAAAAATGTTTGCTTGATTCTTTCTATAAAATTCAATGTGATTTTACACAATGAGTAGGTCCTTAAAATTCAACCTGTTTCAGCTCCAAAAGCCATTTTTTCTATTAAGTGTTTCTCATCTTTAACAAATGTTTCTTGCAGCTAAAAAGAACAGCATCAATATTCATAGATATGTCTATGTCTTCTTGTTTAATTATGCAAAGTTTTTGTATTGATTTTATTCATTAATTGTTCTATTCGCAAACTATATACAGTTTAATAATCTTATCAAATAGAATTATTGTATTATACTTTCTATAATAGAACCTCTACATTATTATTAAATTATTATATTTATATTATATTACTATACCATATAAATTAATAAACTATTTTGAAAAAAAATATGCTTATTTCATTTCTACTTTTTATTTCTATGTCTTTGATTTTTCGTCAGATCTTCAGAAAAAATTCCCGCGCAAGTGCATATATTAAATGTTGAAATTGAAGTCAATGATGAGTTATTCACGGTCAACTATGTATGTAATTTTCTTTCTAAATCGTTGGCCATCCCCGGCTTATCAATGAAAAACTGTAGATAAAAATGTTTTAATGGATTTTGGCAGTGAAAAGGAAATAAAGCTTCTAGATTGACCAGTAAATTCCTTGGAATGCATGGAATTTGGTTATCTTGTCAAGTGAAGAACGTCGCAACCGCGCTATGGCGGATGTAAACATCAACATTTCCGTTTTCAAGTTCATTTCCGGTAAATGTTGACTGATGGTTTCCTGTTTGCTGTGTGCGATCTAAAAAAATCGGGGCTTTAGATGTAGCTTGCAAACACGATACCGTTAAAACGTTGCATTTGAGGGACAAAATACTGATAATAATGCTCTAAAGAGTATAATCTTGATTGTTTTCGTGTCGATATCGACATAGTGTGCAATCTTGAGTTAAAATTAACTGCTTACAATGCTTGGGAAAACTAGAGGTCAAAGGACCTCAGCTTATTAGATACAGGGACCACACTTGTCGACTGCATCGATTGCTATCATGTGTTACCACTTTGTCAATGAATGACCCAATGCAGAACACTTCAGAAATAACATTTGCAAAATCTCAGAGAGCTCTTCACACATTAGATTAGCACTAAATATGACTGAAAGGGTAACGCCTCCTAAATAATTTGTTTTGTTTGCTGTAATAGTTTTAGAAAGCAATTTAGACGAATAGGAAATCGGGACTTGTCAGCACTTGTGGTGAAATACGATAGCACACTCATGAAATCGACTGCTAGAAGATGATAATACTCATCTTAGACACCAAATCCATTAAATATAGCATGCAAGATTATTTATTACACCTCGGTATTTTTTTAAAGTTGATGCCAGGTATTTAGTTCAGGACAGTAGTATTAGAGTACGTTGACGAGCACTAGATTTCAAGGGTACTGTACCRGCAGGCCCAAGARGATGAAAAATCAAAGATTCCGCTGGTCCGCTGGGGTCATGGTTGGCGACTTTTTATTTGTAAACAATGTAATTTCATATGAACGAGAACTTTCCAGTGTCTGGACAGATCGRCTTCATATATCTGCCTGTATCTGTTGTGTGCGATGTCATGCAAACATATCGAGTTAACTTCGTTGCTCAAAAKCAATGTCATGCGCAGACTCAGGACGTGGAAGACGACCAGTTCCTGGAATGTGATAAAGTCCCGAAAAGCTGGGGGAAAACTAGGTGTTTTGGATTTACATGCTTGTATATTTTTCCCGTTTAATTTTGTGTTTAAAAATCTGCATAGTTCGGAAAGTAGTCACGTGGAACAAGACAAGGACACGTAGTTTCCCGCCAAAAACATCAAGCGCCAGGGAGTCTGAGGCCGAGGCTCAGTGCTGTCATTTGTGTGGAGTCAGCAGTCTTTCAGACTTGCACATGTTCTATAGCTCCAAACAGTGATGTTTACTACTTCACTGTTTTTCAACCAGGGCGAAATTTACAGACGGCCACATCTTCATGACCTTCATGATGTTATTTTATACGGTAATATTTTTATTATTATTTTTTTTACTCAGAAAATGTATTCAAACTCTATGAACAGTTTATCAACAATGTCAAAAATTGCAAAAAAAAAAGCAAATATCATTTTTCACACATAAATAACACTAAATGCAGTAAGATAATATTTGGTAGTGGGATCTGTAGGTGACACATGTGTGTCTTGTGATTTATGTGTGCAAGTATATCAACAGTACCAACAAATACACCTTGAATCAATCTTAAAACTCCACCATCAATGAAGTTATATAACATGTTATTGTTATGATGACCCTACTCATAATATCCTGATAAAATGATATATAGGGTATTGCTTTGTTGTATTTTGTGAGGGAAGTCTAACTTTGGTCAGGAGAAACGGTCCTTTATGAAGGTGAATGGATCAGAGTGGATGAACACACTGGGTTGATCTTCTGTGTACAATTTCTACAGATCATTAGTATCAATGATGCATGGCACCACATTGATAACAGGTACTAGTGTCACAACTATGCATTCAAATTTTTTCATTTTTGTTCATGTCGAAGCTATAAAGTAACTAATTTGGTATTTTCCCTGGATATTTGTACAGATCGTTTGTCTTGTTTAGATGGTTTTCGTGCCTTTGTGTTACCACTAACTGACATCAATGATGTTCTTGCTCGCTGCCATGATGAACTACTTGACTTTCTTCTTTGACGGCTTTCAACGTTTCTCTGACTTAACTGGCTGTCTGGACGAGTCARACGTTCTACACAAACAGAAACATACAAATTTTAAATTATTTTCATAAATTCAGTATGATTACCATAGATGTTCAGTGAAATTGCTGAAAACTATACCCTGTTCCAGAGTAAAATCGCTGAAAACGATACCCTGGTTGGTGGCACGTCCCGTATAGTGAATATAGGGGAGCACCCCCCTGGAGTGTAACTAATAAAATGATGTACTTATTTCCAAAACATGATCACTACTAGTTGGAGATGCAGTACAGTAACTGGGTGTCGGCTAACAGTTGRCACTCTTGTGTRATAATTATTGAATGTAGGAAGAGAWGGTTTCAGATCTCCAATCTTGCATTTTGTACACATAAAATGAAAAGCTGCATCTCTCATGACATCACATACTGACCTACAAATGCTGTTGTTACCACTTCTATATCAGTACATAATGGTGTGTATGTTGGAATTTCTGTGTTCTCTTTCTCTATAAGTCATAAAAACATAATTTTTTAATAATTATGATTGTATTTTTAGGGTACAAATCAACATGAAWTAGCAGCTCTTTCATGTTTTAAAGCACAATTTCTGGTTTTGTACATGGTACATTAGACATAGGTAAGATACTGACATGAAAGACTTTGAGTAGGAGAAAGTTGCATATATTTTACACTTGATTGACAATGTAATTARCAGCATTTTAACACTTGATGATGTCAATAACATGTGGACTTACTTTCTACTCTGATTAGAATGAATGTGCCCCTAGGCTTGAGTACGTCAACTGCTGGTCTATTGGTATTCTGAAGGAGGTTTTTGATGTTACCATGTTCATCAGATAAGTCCACTAAAGCTGAAAATAGATTTTTAAGCTTGTTTTCCTTTGTAGTTTTGTTGTAGCAGTTAYATGTGAACAAGAGTTTTATTGTTGTGAGGGTTTAGCGTGGTCATTATAATACTTGTTTACACCTTCAAATTGTTTTGTATTCTTTTGTGTCCATTTGAATATTTCAAGTATATTGGAATTTGTTTGACAAGACCAYCAAAACTACTCTTTCAAAACAATGACTGACTTATAAAACCTTGTAGTAAACAAACAGACTTTATTGTTTGCTTGTTTGTAAAACATGTTTGATGTAAACATAATTTATTTTACCGTCTTTTTCGCAYTTGCATCTTCTCTTRATATCATCTAAAAGGTTTTTYGTCAGACAGTTTGGGTTRAATAAGGCTTGTTGGTAATCTGAACAGAATCAATTCAAAAGTTAGTTTACGGTAGAAAAAAGTCAAATGATCATTCAGTTGAATTAATAACGAAAAGAAACTATCCTTGCTTTACTTTTATGAAACTATAGACTTGAAATCCGAATGTTGCAGTATAAGGATATAAGAATTAACGTCACTTACCACCATATTTCACAGTTATAAACATACTTCCGATCAGTTGAATCTTGATATAACATTTATCTAAAAGTTCCTTTAACTGATTGAGTAAAAGTTTATCAAAGTTCTTAGCTTTATGGGCGAGTTTGGTGGTTCATCGTTAACCGAGGTCCAGTACGTRAAGTTCGTTATTAGTTTGTTTTGGGACAATACGGTATCTAAGGTCTTTATATCAAAGCCAACATCGCTAAACAATGGATCAGCAGGATTGAATTCCTTCAGTYCTTCTTAAATTACMATGTCACGCTGCTATGTGTCACTTTGATCGTTTCACATTTTATCTCTTGGACAAATGTTTCTGTTCTATATATTTTGAAYTATGAAAAGAGTGAAAATAGTATTTTGTTTATTCCTCTTTTAATTTTTTTATAAAAGCAATACATCAAAAACTTACTAGAAAAYGACTTTATAGAGCTCAAAGTACCTGCGCACAGAACGTTCTAGTTACGCACATATAGCAATCTCGTACCCAGCGCCACTGTCCCTCTTAATCGCAGGCTCACAGGCTCGACGAGCATGTGTTTTTCGTCGAGCATGCGCATTAAGAGGGACAAGGGCGCTGGGTACGAGATTGGCACATATAGTATCAGCGCCGGTCAGCCTTATAGTGACAGAAGGAAAGGTTGGATATCATATATTTAGCGCCGACGGCTGTATGTGCGACGTTGTTTTTGTTATGTTATCACTAATTGATAAATTCACTATTCATTTCAGCTTTATTTGTTATGAAGATTTCCTCTGTTTTTCGTGTTTAATTAAAACTATTTTTCATTGGCTTACAAATTGGTATTTGCGCWTTTTAACATACCAAAGTTAAAGCGAAGGGAGCTCACGTTTTTCATACTTACATAGTCAAGTTACAAAGACAGGTGAACGTAATTTTGAATATCTGTCGCTATACCACAGCAAAGTAATAAAAAAACAACATGGGATTCTGACCATAGGACTTCCATTTAACTAATGAGATAAGCCTGGMTTATATAAGCCCCTCCTTAATTAACTCTTTAATCCACCTGCACACGCCAACCAAACACAGTTTCCTGGGCGAACTAAAGCGATTTTTGATTAATAAAATGAACTGCGAGTGTTCAGGTGTAGGAAGTTGTTGCAAGAATAACCTCGATCTCAAGTAGTCATTAGTTGAAGTGAAAGTAATTGAAGAAACTCGATGCATTGTGGGTTATATTGGTTGTCTGACAAAGATTCAAATACCGGTAACATTATTTACATTGAGGAAATYATTAAAGGTAAGTTGCTACTGTTTATGTCCGTTTTTAACCAGTTTACATCAAGCAGTTCAGGGTGATTTCTGGGGTCTTGACTGTTTGGCAATTAACTCCGCACTCATCGAGAGCGATTTGCGATTTGAGTATTTGCGTCAACAAAATGCTTCGCAAGTCGAAATGCTGAAATTCGTTACAATCGGGTTATTCCATATAATTTAGTGATCATTGTCGTTATTTAGAGTTGCTCAAACTAAGAATCGACCATATTTYTTGTTCAAAACACCAACCRAGGMARSMGAGCCTGCGGTGATYATCATACGTTGGCGTTCTTAATTATCTGACCATCCTTACGATTTGGACGTTATAAATTAAGTTATCTTAATAATTTTATTCTCAAAAAAAATCGATAGTTTGAACGTTAGTCGCTTCACATTATCAATAGCTATTTTTCCCATTATTAATAATTCATTAATCACAGCAATATCGCCATTGTTATATTGAGTCATAATCGTTATCATCATTATTATATAACTCATAAACCTGTTTAGCTTCGTCTATTTCTCATGCTGGTCCAGATGCTTGTCTAAGGCACTTCTTAGTGTGTTGCGTCGCATTCTTGATGAAAACAATAAGCCCAGACTTTGAATATTATGACGATCATTTGTTCATTGTATAGTTAGTGCGTTTAGTGTTCGTTAGTATTAAAACAAGAATATATTCACTGATTCTGATATACTGTGTACCCGGAAGGATGTCTTATCGTTAATGTACACAGTATTCGAACTGATTGACTGAATATTTTATCCAACCTTTAATGCTAATAGTATACTGGATTTCCTTGACGATATCAGCAGTGTTCATGTCCAATAGTCTCAATTGTGTGGTTCCTTATATAAAAAGATGCTGGGAGTGGAAATTAGTAGCTACTTTGAAATGTTAGGCCTGGAAATAATGAAGCTGGTGGATTTATAGGAWATATCCGTGTTCAATAACAAAGTACTATGAGTATAATTGTAAAAATCAGGAATCAAACCACTTCATAATTTCACATTCAGATGAGAATTCCTATTAATTTTAATACTGCGATAAATTTGATGTCCCCATTTTCTAACGAAAATAGAAGGTTTTGTTCAATGGACTCTTAATTGCAGCTGCTCAGTTTAGAGGCTTTTACCGGACAATAACGGTAATCCAGACCATGATAATGTGTCTTAATTTTAAGTCTCATTCGTTTGTATAAGCAAGAAGTTAAATTTCAAAATAATTCCTATCTTGTTAAATGGAAGTACATATGAAATCCAAATTTACTTTACGCCATTTCAATTACTGTGGCAGTCAAAGAAGTTAAGAAGGGCGTGGCAAATGGTGTTTAAGACAAGAGGACAGCAATCTTTTATATCTACATAGACAAACGATTTTACCAGTTGTAATGATTATTATGATTGTGATCATAGCTTTTTATTCACTAAGGACAATTTTCTAAATTAAATTTCATAAATAAATGATATTGACGGAACAGATGCAAATCCTTTGCAAGTCCGCAAATATTGAATATCAGTTGTGGTTGTTTTATCTCGGTGATATATCGGTATAGCAAGTCACGCTGTAATTGAAAGTTCAGTGCTAAATAAACTGCACATCTGCAACGAGTAAAGCAATACCGGTAATTTATTCAAAAATAGTTTTTAATCGATGTTCAATAGACGGAGATCAATTATTGAGAAGCATTTTGACGATATATGGAAGATGAAACACACCGCTAAAGGTAAGAATCAAAACAGCACTTTGCTTACAAGTTCGGTACGCGAAAAACCATGTTATCTCTTATTGCAATTTCTAGTGTTTTTTTWAAGATATAATTGCTTTAAAATTGTGGGCATGTTTAACTGMGCWATAATATTTTTCGAGAAGGACTGTTAAAGTGCCAAACGAAGAAGGTCGACTTCGCTCTTAAAAAGATACTTCACTAGAAACGACATAAAGTTGTGCCTTCGCTTTACCATATAATCGGTTTAATAGRWWCACAGTGAACGAGATACTTTCATTTTCTAAGGCTGATTTTGATACAAAGTCATGATGCATTGCGCATTGTTATATMTTGCGAAAAAACGGTAYTGATATCTTTGTACAACGTCTTTAYCCTGTTTTGACTGCAATGACGGAGAATATCGTCTCATTTCTGAAATATTCCCGAGGCTACGAATAGACAAACGAGTGSYTTTAATCCGCGTATGTTCAAAACATTTTCCGCAATGCGTCACTGACATATTCCTAATCGAAACACACTTCAAGGTGTCCTTCAAACGCCAAATTCAATAACATTATCACAAAAATATTGCCGGTCTTTTCTCTTGATCAAGAACATTCGAATATCTGTAAGTGTTAGTTACGAATCTCAATGCCGGCARGAGAGTCGATAGTTAGACGCTTGGTATAAACTAGCCATTGTAGACTTGTTGTCATATTGGATAAAAAAGGCTTATCTGACTCCAGCAGTCGGATAAAACATCATAAAATAATAGGTATAATAATATAATGCTAGCATTGTATAAGTATAGTAATAAGTATAAAGTGTAGACTGAACTGGACTAAAAAGAAGGAAATTCTCTCGTTCAAGGTTATTTACTGATGATAACGTTGATTGTGTCGTTTTGATATCAACTCYATCGGTGTCATACATTTTTGATTAATGGTTCATCTTTTTTCACTAAAATGCGACAAAATTGACAAAAGGAAATATGATTTTCTAGATGGGGATTTACTTTATGTTAACTTGGATACTTGAAGCTTCTTTTTTCAGCTGTCTTTCGAAAGGATTCAGGGCATTAGTTCACAGAACTAACGGAAGAAAATAGAAAAACAACGCACTACAACATATGTGACCATATCTCATAACTATTTCTATAATTTACCAATACATATCTAATATATATCTCCAGCTATACTCGTGTTTTTGATGAATTATTCTTATGACCTCTTTTCACCTCACTGCGAATGTTAAGTGTTGAAACTAATAAAAGAATATAGATGTAACTAGAAAAACTGACAGGTTCTATCTTGATACTCATTATTTCATATATCTAGTTGGGTTGCCAGGTTTTTGCATTATCATATCATCTATTTCAATAAACTAATTATTGGAACGGCCTATGTAATATTAATTCCCTACTCAGTCTTCAGAACTGCTCAAAAACATGTAGGCATTAATGATATATCATTAAAAAGCACAGGTCAAAGATCTCTTGATCCTAAATCTTGAATCTAGTACTTTGTCGGTATCTAAGTAGGAAAAACTGTTGATTGGTATTTGTGGCAAATAAGGATAGAGGGAGATATTTAATTAAACTACAATGCATTCAGTATGTCAAATTATGTGGATGTTTCTTTCYTCAGCTATCGACCATGGTAAATAACACAACCAAGCCGTTAATCAACTACAGTCGACGAGACTTGTTTGATGGTGAAATTACTATCGGTTTAACAATTCTTGGTGTCATTATATGCATCTTTGATRTCCTTGGCAACTCCATTGTCATTCACATTGTRCGCACGCGCGCGCACATGCGTACTACGACAAATTTRTTGATTGCAAATCTGGCAGCCGCTGACCTGTTGATGGTGCTCGTGGTCGCATACCTAACCAAGCACTATTTTGTAGGATTTGATTGGTTCAAAGGTCTGTTTGGTCATGTGACGTGTAAACTAGTGTTATCATTACAGCCATTGAGTGTSGTAACGTCAGTTCTTAGTCTCACTGCTATTACTYTAGACCGATTTTTCGCCATTATGTTCCCTCTAAAGACATTYATTACAATCAAAATAGCCAAGCGACTAATGGCCGTCATTTGGATCCTGTCAGTAGCCTTTTCGATCCCAATAGCTGTAGTCTCGAAGTCGTATCCTCTTGGCACCAGCCACATTTGTTTTGASAACTGGAAATTTTATGGACTTCATTACCGTTATTACGTCATCTCCTTCTTTGTKATTGGATACATTTTCCCTTTCGTTGTTATGGTAACACTGTATACATTAATGGGCATAAAGTTATTGTATGGCAAAGTACCTGGAGTCCAGACCCCTGAAACAATAGGCCGGATCAAGACTGGCCGACGAAAAGCCACTAAAATGCTGATAACTGTCGTGATTGCCTTTGCATTGTGCTGGCTTCCACTTCAGTTAGCTGAGATCTTGCATGTMTTCGCACCAGAAACTTACAAATCAATCCCTTTCAAGTTGAATCTACTTTTACCATATTTTGGAATCGTGAACTCGGTCATCAATCCATTCATTTACGTTATCTTTTGTGAAAAGTTTCGTTTTGAGTTTTCAAGAATTCTGTGTCGTTGTCCAAAAGTTGCTGACATGGATAGAAGTTGGTCGTCGAAAAGTTTTAATCGTTGTACAACAAAAGCCAAATCTGGATCTTCTGTTGAGTTAGTTACGAGACGATCGATCACTACATTTGTTTGACGACGTTTAGTTTGAGGATTGAAAGAAATGAGTCGAAACGAGGGAGACTAAGTAAAGGATAGAGGAACATGACTATGAGTAAATCATGAAGACACTATTTTTATTATTTTTGGAGAGGAATATATAGGTTAGTTACTAAAGCCAAAACATCTCATACATTCAAGAACGACATGATCACTAACAAAGAACGCGTCAAATCACGCATATTAATTAAACTGCTTTTTAAAGGCCCAGTTTGCACCATTATGCTTTGCGAGCCTCTGTTATTGTTATGACTTACACCAAAATAATTCTAGTTTCCAAATTTCACCATAAAGCGAATTTCAGATGGTTGAAAACTCTAATATTAGAATTTAAAGTACTTAGAAAAGTGAGATGGTCAAAGATCCGAAACACACACTATACAATTTATAGACTTTCGGTAAACTGAAAAATGGCCGTCTCCCGGCCCCCAAAGCATAATGGTGCACACTGGGGCCTTTCAATCAATACATACAAATTACAAACCTAGTCTCGTCATAGACAATACTTTTATGGAACACCCACCAACTTACTCTTMTCTTGCCTCGTGAGCTAGAAGAGGGCGGATGAAGAATGAAAGGYGTGGAAGGCTGAAGAGACTGAGGATGAAAAAAAATATCCTGTAGAGGAGTTTAATGTCATCAGTCACTAGTCACTATATTACACTATATGTGTTGTTTATAGAACGAGAGTGCGTGTTTAATTATCGGGATATATAGATTCGAGCCGCAGGCGARAATCTATATACCCGATAAAACACGCACTCGAGTTCTATAAACGACTTCTAGAACTCCAACATTCAGAAATTGTTATCATTTTAGAAAAAAGCTAAAAAATACGAAAACAGTGATAATGCATATTCACTTCTAATGAGCATGTGCATTGTGCCACAATAGAAAGAATTTTGATCCCACACAAAAGAGCGGCTAGTYTAGCTATAGTRCATGTCGGCACATTGATTCAAASTGATTTAAAACCTAGCAAAGGTCTATGATGCGACATTAAAACTGAGACCTTTGCTGTGTTGGGTTGCGATAAAGCGCTGATGAACTTGATCAGTTCTTTATATCTGATATAGAACTGATTAATAAAACATCAGTTCTATATATCTGATATATAGAACTGATTAATAAAACATCAGTACTTTATCGGATATAAAGGCCCATCATGTGACCCGATAGTCCGATGCTCATTGGACTAATAGCTCATGAATTATTAATGAGTTCTAGAAAACGATGGATAAATATCTCGCTAGTTTGAACGTAAGCATTAGAGTGTCTACTTTAAACTATATGTTAACATCGGGTGCTGTATATGCATAACGTTTGTAAAAGAGACTATAAACAATGCAGCATATAACCAGTCCTGATGGGCTGCATGTAGCTGGGCTGCCTGTAGTCCGACTAGTATACTTCAAACGTGTAACTTTTAGAGCAAATTATCTTTAATCAATGTTRATGCTGGCCAGTCAACAATAGATTGAGTCTTAATCGATTCTTTGAAATAGCAGTGCTTGAATCTGTCCTCCCTCGGGCTTACTCCCCCGGAAGTGCGCGAATGCGGAAGTCGCATTCCTGTAGATAACTGTTATATCTTGAAAAGAAACTTCATCTCTTCCTTTACATCCGATATATTTGTGAARTCCTTTCATATGAAATTCAAGTCTGTACTGACAACCTGGGAATAGTTGGAATGGTTGTTTCATTCTGATATCTAGAGGATAATAGAGGTCGTTTATTTTATTTCCGGTTTCAAAAGTCGAGATAAAATGACATTTAGACTCGTATTTTCCTGATTTTTTTTCGATTTCAGAGATTGAAAAGTCCACTTCAAAGGATGTACACTCGCTGCCAAAAAGCCTTGCTCCAACAAGTTGAACCGCTTGACTGACTTCAAAGTCAACACTGGAAACAAGCTTTCCGTTAAAGGCGAAAGGCTCGACCGATTCAAAACGGTCACCAGGCATCACAAAATCATTGTCAAGTCCGTTTCTTTTATCAGAACAAAAATTTCGAGAGACTGGTCGTACAGAAGTAAAAATTTGCACCAATTCCGTTACTTCGTGCATCGTTAGAACTCCACTTGGCAACACGGACTCTGCAAATTGCTTTTGTGACATAAGAGGAAATCTTATGAGTCTGATAGCTTGTTCTCCTAGGATTGACCGCCTAACTTTCCCATTCTTATTCATTYCCTTTTCYTGGATCCTTTKTGACACCCATTGGTCTACAGCCTGGAAGAGTGAAAACTCTTCTATTGCCAGTTTTGTCCTAAGAAGAAGCTGGTAAAGCAATTGATGTGAAATGTCCAAGAAAGACGGAGAMRRCAAGGCTCGACGTGTCTCTTCGGTGATGAGATCCCAGCAGCGTTGTACAAGGGCTTTGTCATAGTTCGTGGAGATCTTGGRYAGCACAAGGAATACGTCCTCTGGTTGAAGTTTTTTCTKTATGTATTCCTTACATTTCTTGRCRAGTGAAGGTACAATRTACTTCTCTGCGATGTACATTACGTCAACAACATTTSTTGCAGTCAAATTAATTTTATCCGAATATGCATATCGAAGGAACTCCTGTAAGCCTTCCGAGGTACAGTCTGGCAGCTCGATAGKTGATTYAGTTTCCGCTAGTTCACTGTAAAACATGGCTGCAAAGACYGGACTGGTGATTGCCARCATGTACTTGGTAGCTGGAATAATAACTTCAGTTTCATTTGAATCRAGAACCGAGAATTGAATATCACAGAACAGTGAGTTATTATAGGCGTATGTAGTACGTTCACGAACCTTGCAAAGATTAATTTGCCAATCTGTGCTCTCCGATTCGGTACACATTTTTAAAGTTGATGTGTTGTATTCTAAGAGAATTCGCGGAATGCGCTTTTCAGACAGGCGTTCCACTCCAGTATTAAGGCCACCTGAGTAAAGGCCAGGTTGGATTATAAAGGAAGCCCAATTATCAAAACGCCGCAACGTAACGTAACATCGTTTTTGACAAATTGGAGGATTTTGATTCTTGTATTTTACCGGCGTTTATGACTAGTTATCATGAAAATCCATAAATAGTTATCGAGTTATATGTACTTGATGGAGCTTTTGCAAGTAAAAATAGATTTGTGCGAATACGATTTTGAATTTTTTTCTATTTTCACCGAGTCCACTTCAGTCATTATTATGATTTATTTTGTTGATGTGATAAATGTAAACTAATAACAAGTTTTTAATGTCATATATTGTGTTCTACACTATATTTTATTTTTTTATCTGTTCTATTTTTTTATGATCTTTGATGAAATGATGACAGGAAAAGACTAATGCGTTCATGGTCTGCGCAGATGCATGACTAACACATTTATGCATTCTTATTAAAATGACTTTCGGCCTTTGTATCGTGAAGTACTATCATGGCTTCATACCAACTCGTGGATTGGGAATCAGACCGCACGTGTTAACTCGTGTACTAGGAAACTATTCAAAGACAAGTGTCGTTCTTCAGTGGAGTTTTCCGTCCATTATGTGATATAACAGGGAATCTTGTTGTGTGTCTTGTTGCAACCGAAGGACTTCCAGGATTACTCGCAGGATCAAGCATCGAATAGGGTCTCCAGAAACACAATGTCCGCTGGAATTCCCGACGAAATGTTTCAGAAAACACAATGTATATGATCGGATTGATGCAACTATTGATGAACCCAAACCATGGGAGAAATAAGTCTAAGAAAAGAGGAGTCTTTTTAGATAACTCTGGAGATTCAGATCGWATCAACTCGCGTACATGGAATGGAAGCCAACACAGCGCAAACACAATTACAACTGTAATTAGCATTTTAGTTGCTCTTCGTCGACTTTCCACAATTGATCGATTATTCCTTCTTGTGATACTGTTCTGTTGACCTGGAGGTGTACTTCCCCACAATTTATACCCAGAGATCCCGTATGCAACGGTGATGAAAATTAATGGAAATACAAACGTCAGACTTGTGAATGTTATGATATGATCACTTGGTGATAGACCCACATCTTCCCATAATTCAATGCACAAGTATACCCCATTATACTCGACGATCTTTGAAGCAATAATAAGGGGAATAGAAAAGATGATCGAACCCAGCCATACAAATGTAACACTCCACTTTGTAACTTTAGTCGTGAAKAGTTTTTTCATCGGCATCATAACGGCCAGGAATCGATCGACACTAATTACCAACAACGTATACACAGAACAGAAAATGGATATCATTTGCATCGAATGAACAAGCTTGCAAGTGATCGTTCCCATAATGCCTCCAAACCACTGTGCACCAACAAAGTAGAATTTAACCAAATATGGATAGACGAACGTAATCATGATGTCAGCGATCGACATGTTGGATATTAGGATATTCGTCGTACCGCGCATGTGTCTGCGCGTGCGCACTATGTGGATAACCACGCAGTTACCAACAAGTGATATAATAAATGCTAACACCCCAAAGAAGGTCAATCCGACTTGAATATCCACGTCCAGGTTGAAGATTCCGTGTCCTGAAAAATGAACAGGACACGTGTCACACCTTGTACATCGCGTATTAGCGAGTGAATGATAAAAGGGAAGAAAGTGAGTGAATGATAGAAGGGAAGAAAGTGAATGATAGAAGGGAAGAAAGGGAAAAAATTAGCACTTTATTATCTATACTCAGTAATTTGTTGACATTCATTTGTGATATAATCAGTTCAAATGGTACTACAGCCTGACACTTTATCTATGTTATTAAATAATTTTCTGTCTGTCATTTTTGGCGTGTACTTGCTTTATTACTTGAGAGTTATTTGGTAAACTAGCAGGAAAGATTAATTCTTTGGACAAGACATCACAATACCATGACAACCATATAAAGACAAAATCAACACTGAGAAAATAAACAAAAAATGGTATGATTCATTTCTAATCCAAAACATGGATTGCTTGACATTGCTCTCGTTACTCGACATCGCTATTCGACCAAATTGACTTTTATCAACTGAAATGACTGATGTACCGATCATGTGTCAAAAGCAAATCAACTGGAAATTTGAAGCCCGTTCTATACGTCGTATTCCTTATGTTACGACTGTCACTGATAATGACCAGAAACTAAAGCTTGCCTCTAGTGAGCTGGGCTGGCAAGATTATCATTTAACAGTAAACAGTCAGTTCCTAGCTTCTCTGTGGTGAATTTAATATCAGTAACATGTAGATAATTTCATGAATAATTACTCACAGTTTTCTAAGAACTAATCAAGTGTTTTACAGAACTAATTACAAACAAGCGCGCAGTAAAGGTGATTAAAAATAGATGAATAGCTTTCCCTAACAATACAAAAATTATTTCTTCTTTGTAACAGCCGTGTCGACAGAACCTAATGTAGACGTACAGTCCGGCGCCAACTTCAGCCTCGCCCTTGTTTCTCTGATCATTAGTTGGAATTCGAAGCGGTGCGGAAAAGCGACGAAAGTAAATTGCCGATGCCATGGAGTCTGCCTTCTTGCAGTTGAAGAAAAAAATTGTCTTTTATTTTCAAGATTTTTATTAGGACCTATTAGCGTAATTCAATTTTCGTATTGAAAGGCCGTTTTTCTCCCTGCAGCTGCATATGAGATCAAGAAGAGAGCGAATACTAATCCCGTAAGATAATGAAGGATTTCATCACACCACTTGACAACTGATAAACCTTAGAATTACATTACAAGAATAATAATCGTTGAAGTTTTTTCAGCTGAAGAATATAATAAGATGAAATGATAAAATGTAAAGAATCACTTGTCATTTCTGACAGCCGTCTCATCAAATTTGAAGATGGTTGTCAAACGGTGTCAATCAGCGAATGTCAGATGATGTCGTCCGTTCAGTTGGACATTCCTAGCTCTTTTGCTTCTAATCCTTTTTTCTTTATTTTGTTATAGAATCGAGCATTAAGTTAGGTAATTAAAAGATTCCGTTATGGGATTAACGAGATATAATGAATTCTAGGGTTCCTTCTTGGTTGTTGTTGACATTGGCATGAATTGGCGTTATGTACAGATAATCTTTCCTCGTGAAAAGACTTTTGTATTATTCATATACTTTGAAACGAGTCTGTAGTTCTGGCTAGTTTCTATGAATGAATTAAGTGGCTACTTAGTCTGCAAGCTATCGATCATCGATGGTATTGTCGAAAAAAACCTACACTCCCGGCAGACAAAAAAAATAAACACATAGAAACATCTCACGAAAATACTAAGTTTACTGAAGTAAGATCTCATCGAAATARGAGATTTTCAAACTATTAAGAAACTCATTGAATCTTAAGGATCCTTCACGATATAGAACGAGTTCGAGTTAAGTTAATACAAGGGTGACAGTATGCTCAGACTGTAGGTCTCTCAAATGGTCTCTGATAAATATTTAGGCAAAGCGCCCCTAAATTATCAAGCTAAACCCTGAGCTACAATTACAATAGAAAAATATTGTTTTTCCTTTTCCAGTACATTAGTTTTACATTGAGGTAGTAATGACATTGTACAAGATCATGGTTGAATACACAATCTTTAACGCCATATGGTATATTAATATGATTGTCAAGGTATAACCAAAACTTAAAAGCCGTGTTCTGACCCCTCTTACCTTGAGACGAAACATTAYTGCTATTCATAGCTGATTGAAAAGATTTCCAGCTCTTCTAAGGCATATAGCATCAATCTCCTAAACGCGGAAACAATTAATGACGTATCATGTAATTAACACATCAGATTTCTATGGGGAGGGGAAGGGATTCCAGCGGTCACTTCGATTCGCAATGGTTGTAGATTTATTAATAATTAAAAACGAAGGTAGTTCAACTATGAAATCCTCGTGTTTAATTCAGTGCCATTTTTCAATTACACACAAACTGTTAAGGGATTAAGATTCGATTTAGCTCTATATATTGTGATGTCGGCTTATTTTCATTTTTGTTCACCCGACGTCTATTCAACGGATTGTAGCTTTTCCACAACAACAACAACACCTTTTTATTTGTTGAAACAGAATTCCAGAATATTGAAAACAAGGTTATACGCCGAACTTTACATGTGTCGAATATCATTGAAGAAGCAAAAGCATGTGAAGTACGGTGTATATATCAAGTATATTCGACAGTGTTGGATTGAACATGACTCGAGTGAAAACAGTCGAATATAAGGCAATTATGCGGCAGTATTTTTCAATCTGACATGTTAAAAAAATCTGTCCCTCAAAATTTTCGTTCCCAGCAGATTTTGATCGATATTGAAATGTGAAAACTTCGGATTATGTTCATTTTGTTTTAATAGCAAATAATTAGTTAAAAAGGCATTTAATAGAATACGAATACAAAACAGATGAAAGTCACTAAACTGGAATGAGAATTATGAGATTCCAATGAGCTGTTTGTGTTTATTTATGGCCAGACTGTAGGTGGGAGTAAAGATCATGAATTCTTCTAATGAGAGTGTCGTAAGGTCTATTTAGACAAGCATGACCGTCATCCAATGAAGTGTTTTAATATTGTTTTAAGTGAATTGGTTCTGACGCAGCAAAGGTACCGCCATGTTGTCGTTTTTGATAAGGTTTTGGTTTTCTGTCATGTTGAAACAAGTCGTTTCAGTACATTTGAAAGACTATATAGTACAATTCTTTTCTGAAATCACTCTAACATTTTACTGTCAAACTACTTTTGATGAACATCGTTACGTCAGACCAAAGTGGGATATTTGACGAAACAACAATAATAGACAATGTGCGGGGACGCCATTTTGTGCAAGAAAAAAAGGAATCGCATGCTCCTCACGGGACATCAGCTACACCCAGTCTCTCTCAATTCCTCTGACCACAGTAAACCCCCCAAAGCAATAATGGCGTCCAGTTCTAGTTTCTATTTTTGCCAATTTCCTTAGGAACCGCCATCTTGTAAACAAATCACCTTTGTTGAATCCGTTACAATTTGTGAACCTTTGTGCGCTGTTTTTGTTTTATTTTATTATAATTTTCCGGCAATTATCTTTCCGCACAATGTTGCTTGTGGCAAAGCGGCTCGCCAATTATTTCTATAGTCGATAAAATCAACGTAGATAACAAGCCAGTAAGATATCACGGTAATATCGCAGTTTATTGATAATCAGTACAAAAATTCATTAATTTCTTAAGTTTCTTTTTCATTTCAACTCGTAAATTGTAATTTTTTCTCATCCACGAAGTCTCGCTGTACTAGTATTCACTCTAACCTGGAAACCTGCGGTTAGCGACTAAAGTTAAATTAAAATTAATCAATCAATTAATCCCATTTTTTGCCAATCAATTTTCTTAAGCCTTAACGACTAACGCAGCATTCTATTTTAATGGCGTAAGATTTTCTTCTCTCCAATTTTAGACCATATGGGTTTTTTCTGATACTTTCTATATGTGCGCATGCGTGTTTGTCCTTAGTTGGAGGGCTGCGGTTTTAACCATTCTCAAGTAGTCTTTTGATTAACCGACTTGATATCCTATTAGAGCTAAATTGCCGGCCATACAAAAGTATTAAACGTCGAAGTAACCAATAAAGAAATGAAGACAGATGCAAATATCTCAGTAGAATCCTCGCGAGCTTATTATTCTATTGATATCAGTTTGATTAAATCGAATCCCTATTTACCTTGAAGAACTACACTTTTAAATCGATAAAAACATATCGGTATATGAAACCAAAAAACAAAAACTAATCATAAATCTTAACAACTAATTTGTACCAGTCTGGTTTTCCATAGCTGATAGAAATGTGAAAAAATGTTAAAGATCTCAAAGTTAATCTCTTTATTTAAGTACGTACTTGGTGATCTGTAAAAGTGCAACCAAAGCCAAAGGCGATAAGGAGATTTCTTACATTCCGCGCTAATTTCCCGTGATATTAAAGGGAATTCTCATATACTTGCTATACACAACCTACTTGATCTTGACATTTTCAAAGTACAGAAAAACGTTGGAAAACGTCCTAATATCGAGCAAAATTTGTTTTGTTGTTGTTGTTTTTTGTGTGTAGTTCAAAGAATAAAACTACATCAATGAATAATTGTTGATTTGTTAGATTTGTCATTACCTTTTGAAAGAACCTCTGCCGGTGACTTCGAGAATAATAAATCAAACCAATGAATCTTCTATTATGAACATTAACCGAGGTGTAATAGTGACTTCTATGTTGTCACAACATTCCCCTCAGTGCAAATAATGAAAGAGAAATAATTTACATGACAATAGGAGGACTGCTGATGTCACTTGATAAAACCAACCTGTTCGATGATAAGAATATGCCTGTCATTTTACCGATATCATAGAAATTGAATATCTTAGTCAAATAGAGTCTCAAAAAAAACCATTTTATTGAAATTAACTGCTAATTTTTCTTTTTATTACTATACTTTCCAAWTTGGGACAAGAATTGATCATTATTGATTGAAGACACGTTTAGAATATGTATTTAGGATTTAAAATAAATATAACTAAAAAAAAATTAAGTTGATTTTATTGATGCTTTTCAGTTATTAAAAAGTCGCCGCAAACTCAGCTGACTAAAAACTRAAGACTACAACTTAGATCATTCTGGACGTGGGTAAATTTTAAACTTTTCCCCTGAAAATACAAGTTGTCCGGATCTAAGAARATATTGAGGTAATTTTGCAAAGTCAGACCGACAAATGCTGTTAGTAATCAAGTGTTCGGTTTTCTCCTTAGCAAAACCATCATATTGTTTCGCTGAAAAACGGCCGAGGTAGTTGCTAGGTAGCAATGATCATGATAAACGCCCCCATGTGCTGTCATTGAGAACTAATATTGTATGTGTACATGTAGGCAAGTCACGATATTAAACACTAAACTAATTATAAAGAGTGAAGCGGAAATGAAAGCCAGTTCGTGGTGCGCGTCGACTTTATATAATCAACGACAGATATATCGAACTSGATTCACCARAAATGTTTTGTTGAAAAGGTGCAGAGTTGCATAAAGTCATTTTCCATATTCTACTATCGACATTTTTACAATATAAAAGCTCACTCGCTGTTTAGACTACAAACCTGGCATGCATCATGGTAATAAGATTCACAACGGGGTTTATTTTCTTTTCTTTTTTTTTTCTTTTTAAATAATTAAGATTGACTTTCATGTAATTGAGCAAGGAATCAACTCACACGATATCACACCGGGTATAACCAAAACACGTCATACCATGAAATAAATTTATTTTTACCATTCATTTAATTTTTGGRCAACTTGCTGTTATTTACATTTTCATTTTCCTTTCTTAGAAAGCTCTGGTCATGTACAGTATTTGTCAGTGCCAAACTCTCTTTTCGATGCAAGTCAAGAGATAGACATTAAGACAATAATGTTTTWATTCAAAATCCGGCGTTAATTTTTGGTAAAATCTCCTCAGKATTCTCAGTTCTTTTTCTTTTCAGCCCGAGCCATCATTTTAAATACTTTCTTTCTTTCGTCTTTTCTCTTCTGTTGTCKTTTARCGTCAATCTTTGCCAGCTCTGCTTTGTGGATTTTTCGTTTCTCGTCCATTTTCTCCTTGCGTTTACGGACTTTTTCCTTGTTTGCTGTRTATAATTGCTGCATCAGTGTGTAAACCTGCAAGGAAMGAAAAACACACAGTTTGTCAAKAGATTCCTATTTTTCATCATGACATTTAATTGACGAGTTTTACCTTCTTTTCGTGCGGTTCCATGACAACGGCTCGTTTAGCTTCCATCGTTGGTTTTCTYCGTTTCTTCATATCTTTTGGTTTGGACTTGAATGGTAGATTCTTTTGAAGTTTGCCAGGTACTACCAATGGATTAAAATGCCGCTTTTGACGTTCAATAGGCTAAAACATAAAATAAAAGTCAATCTCGTCAATACAATAGTAACGCGATAAAAGTTAAAAAGCTGACTTCCGGTTAAATTGCAAAGAGGGAAGACAATCCAAACCGATCATTCCCAATCGACCTGAATTATCTGTGTTGGGAGTTTGTTATGATTTTGTACGCACAAAGTTGCTTCAATTAACCACCTCACTTTATCGCATACATTCATCAATTCATTCTCATCCAAACCTCCCCATCTATTACCGCGCACCTTATAGATGGAGTCTTGATTGACAGGTGCTTTGATTCCAGCAGCTTTCCTCAACTGACCAACTGTCTTCATTCCTTCCCATGCCACCTTAGCCTCGTTTGGAAGTAGCAATGACGTCACGGGGTTGTAAAACTTGGGGATGGTTACTGGGTACCAGGTTCTCACGAACACAATATCTGTATGACAAAATCACTATACGATTAATTGTAAAGATGATGAAGGACCCCAATATACTTTGGTTTTGAATGATCCCTGAATTCTGAAATTGTCAAATCTTTTTATCGAGTACATACCACTTAATAATAGTTTATCTTCAAATGTTGCTCGAAAAGCTCCTTCTGGTGCCTGCAGGACATTCAAGATAACGAACATGACATCTCACTATATCAAACAATTTTACTTACAATACAGCCCTACCTTAATCGCACGCTTAATTTGACCGCGAATACCGCTGACGCTTTTTATTGAAGCACCTTCGAATTTAGCAACTTCCAAAGATGAATTGAACATACCCTAAAAACAAACGACACACAATCATGTTAGTCCAGAGATCCCATAGAGGAAAGGGGAAAGAAAAGACTTCACCTTGATGAAGGCTGTATTTTTGAAGACTTTTGTTGGAGTACCAGTTAACTTGAGTTTTTTAACCAATTCTATTGATTTGTCCAACGCTAATACTGTCCCAGTAGCAGATATACGAAAGTCCGACTACAGCAAAGAAAATAACRATTAATTAAATATTARTATTTTCCATCTAATATAGTTAGTWGAAAGGAAAATTGAAACAAAGGACAGAAAGGTACGAAGAAGATCATTAAGGCAACCATTATCACTATGACAAYCATACAAAACTAACCGTTGAGCCAGCTATACTTTGGACAGCAAGAACGCCGGTATTTGGAGGAGCGAGAGGTCCTAAAATATACGATACAGGTTTAAGCTGTCAATACAAACTTAGAACGTTATCAGAGCAGATTGACGTCGACATCCATTGGCACTGAAGTATCACTACACATGCATTTACTATGGGAAAGAAATCGATAGCCTGCAAGACAACCTTTATTAACCATAACTTTATAYGTACCGTAGAAAGAAGCTGTGCAGTGAAGATGTTCAGGAGTGTATTTTAACAGCCTATGTCGGCCATTATGGTCTTGCATAGAGTACATTACCAGTGACTGAAACCTTCGCCATCCAATCGACAGTATTAGTGGATCACGTGTCTTGAGRATACGTTTAAACCATCGATGTTTCTTAATGCGAACCTTAAATATAATTTATTRAAGAATGCTTGTCTTGCTCTAATTATGACACTTATGACTAGTCCAATGTACTTTGCGCGCTTACCTGAATGTAGCCAAGAGTATCCTCATTGGATAAAACCCCGCCAAGAATGATGGGATATCGTGCATCAAAGTTAGTCACAAACTCGCAAGGCATGTTCTTTAACTAGAAGAGAATCAAGAAATTATCAGGATATTACAGGACATGTCTGYACCAAATCAATCAGTAGTGTAAGATAAGAAATATCATTGATAACTTGAAAAGATGCGAAGTTCATGACTTTGCCTGACGTTTAGTGCAGTCACCTTCAACCAGTAAATTTTTGACCTTGATTAAAAAGAAATTCCATTTCTTTCGCTCATTTGATCAACTTTTTTCATTTCATGACCATTTCAAAAACACATACCTCAACYCTGACGTACATTCCTGGTCTGAAGCCCTCGTACTGAACTCTTGTCTCATCATCCATGTCTTCAAATTCWYGCTGATTTAACTAATAACATAAAACAAAGTATGTCAGGGTATGCCGACTTAGGTCCAATAGGATTTCATGTTCTGAAAATGTTTTATACCTGAGCCTGTTCGCTCATTTGTTYCTTAAGCTCTTCGTAAAATGATGCTTCGTCACCTTCGTCGTATCTAGARGATGACAGTCAAGGCAACAAAATCACGAAAATAACTCCCTTTTATCACTGAATGTACAACTTGAGAGAAATGTTTTAAATGTGACAGACGAACATACAGCATGGACAGAACTGACCAAGTCTTAAAGAACACAACACACACTCTCCAACACTGAAGAACGATAGCCACAATGCGACACAATACAAAACGTACAAACGGGACTAAAGGATACTGTGAATTAAAAGCAGCTTTCAGTTTCTTTTTCTTTTCAATTCTTGACATTTTATCTTGCTTTTCCTTTTGCTCGTCTTCTTCACTTTGCTGTGTTTCATCTTCATCTTCTTTCTCACCAGCATCGTTTGCAGAGTGCGTTTCTCCAGTTTCTAGATCTTCAAAGTCGCCGTAAATCTCGTYATCCGATACTAAGCAAATAAAACAAACAGTAAAACAAATCCTTGATTCATTCATCCATTCATTYAATTAACCGCACAATTTTTTTCTAATTTAATGCACCAAACTCTTTAGTTTTCCATGTACATGTAGTACGTTTTTTTGTATCCTTTTACGGAGTAAAACTAATCCTTTTATYCAAACTATTTCTTCTTACATTGATCATCCTGTTTTAGCAATTGYTCTGCGTCTTCGTCTTCATTCCACTTTCCCGTAACAAAACAGTCTTGAATATTTGCAATCACTTCCTGTAGATCCAGGCTTCCTTCGTCCTCAAGGGAACAATCTCTCATTTGCATAACATCGTCTATTTCTCGTTTCTTGGATTTGACTTTGAAAAACCCGCCAATTGTCTGGTCGTCTTCGTCGCTGTCGATGTGGTTCTTTGAGGCCGTTTCATTAGCTGAAGTAGAGGATTTTAATTAAACATCATGATTCATTCTGTGCTTGAAATAACACCTTCCGGGTAAGGGGTTTGAGTGTTTAGAGGACCAACTGGGTTACCAGTCACATGACTGATATCATAATGCACCATCCTCTAAAATTAACTTAAGTTGGTCTTGACCATAAACCCATTTAGGAAATCTGGGTAACACGCTTATAATTGTAATTTAATGCAATTGTACCTACCTTTACCRTAAACTAGCTTACGAAGGTTAGGTGTGCTTTGCTGATGTTTGTAGAAAGCTTCACTTGCTTTTTGTAAGATATTATCTTTCCACTTCAACCGGCCATCTAAACAACATAAAACAAGTCATTTAAAATCCTAGGAGATTGCAATCATCATGTCATGAAGTTTGGTTATGAACTTACTGTCGCTGTCTGACTGTATTTCTTCCTCGATAATTGATTCAGAATCATTTTCAGAATTATTAACGTCGCCATTGTCCATCTTGTCATCRCATACATTGTCACTTTCATCATTACTTTCAAAGTCTACTTCACTATCAGTTTCACTTTCAGAACTATCTTGCTTTTGAGGTTTTGTACTTGGAATGCTATTTTTAGATCTTTTCGATAAGTCAGAAGACAGTTTTTCATTAATCTTAGAACTCTTCTTTCTTTTTGTTTTCATYTCCAACTCATTATCTGAATCCTCATCTGATGAATTATTAGTCTTTTCTCTTTTCTTCTTCTTTCTCTTTAATTCTGAATCGACTCGTTCACTTGACTTTTCTTCTTTTTTATTTTTCTTTGATGTATTAGATTGATTAAGACTTTCCTCATAAAACTCATTGTCACTACCATTAGAGTCCATTGCATTTTCCTAACAGGATCACAAGAAAAAAGATGTTAACTTTGYAAGTTAACTAATCCACAAAAAGGAATTTTGAATGAAGTCACTYACCATAGCTTTCCGTTTCAAACCTGGAAATAAAATGAGAAATAGTTACAAAACATGGATTGCATATTGTTTATAGTGATAGCTGGTTTTATGTTATTATATTACTTACCAGGGTTCTGAAGTAATGTGATGCCATCCTTGGTTTTGTCATCATTATTATTACTCAAGTTATCACTCAGGACGTCATCATCATCAAAATCATCATCAAGTGGAAATTCATCATCATCAYCATCATCYGCACYATCATCATCAGAACCACTAATATCTTCATCATCCTTATCAGCAAATGGGACATCATCATCARAATCGTCATCAGATTCATCTTCACTTCCATCAAAGAGTGCTTTACGCCTGACTCTACCATCTTTACTKTGTAATGTTTGTTGTGCTGGTAAATTGTTGTTCCTAAAACCAGGAAATGAAATGAAATGATAAATGAATAAATAATTTTGAATTGTGCATAACAATAGATATCTGATCACACTTACTCTGTGAATTCTTGTGTTGAAACAGATATTCCATCCTTGATTAAAAAAAACAATCATTCTATACTGATTATAGATGATTATGTTAATTTAAAACAGTGTCAATCTCACCTTAAACAAAGTCATGTGACTTGATGCGATTTTACTGTCCAAGGTGTGTTTTGTRTCAATGAGTGATGACATCAGTTCATTGTCAGGTTTGCTGCTGTCCTGAAACCAACAAACAAATGGATGGATGAATAAATGAATGGGATCACAGCCATGCCATAGCTTGTAATCAGTTATTGATATTTTACTTTACATGTACCTCAGCATCTTTTGTTTCTTGCTCAATGTCTACTTTTCCAGAATGACTTCCACCAAGATCAATGTATACAGCATCCTACACAATGATCACCAAAACACTTTCAAAAACACTTTCATTGATAGAATTGAAATCAAAGTAAAATCTTGATATTACCTTATCATAGACAATACCTCCAACACCAGACATGGGAGCATAAACAAGTCGTTCTTTCTCATTAAGTGTCCTTTTCTTCTCTTTATCAGGTAATGGACAAGGGTCTCTAAGAAGACTWAGGTCGTCTAACTTGTAATCACCACACCCTTGGAAAACAATTCAAAGTATTACTAGAGAATACTAAATGTACTTTGTCCATGTTTTGAACAATCATGAATCAAAATTATAGAATCAATGATATACCTAATAAATGGACCTTTGTGTTATACTTCAGATRAGCACCTCTCACATATCCATACAATGAAACCTTCCGATCACATTTTGGGTTTTGCCTTACATTCTCAGGATCAGTTAAGTCTTCCATCCTAAAATCAAATGTCCACATTAATGTCACAAGCAAGATGTCTATATCCTATGCACCATACCTGTCAGCCAATATGTAGGGATGAGAAGTTTGCCATGTTAAAGGCCGAAACTTCATGACAGAAATAAATCTGCCAAGATTGTGAACCTCTACTTTAGGATAGCAGCCATGAACCAAACCAGAAAGATAAAACAACTTTGCTCCCTAAAATAAATAGTCATCACATTTTATATTCAATGTGAGTCTTGTATGTGTTTACTTTTAACAAACCTAGGGAATGCTAAGATTATGAATACACCAAGCCATCTATTTACCTGATAGACTTCAGTCCAGAATCTGTCTTTGAGTTTTTTCTTTGTCTTTTTAAGTGATTTATTATTCTTAAGCATATCAAGGTGTGTGAGTACACCCATTATCTTAGGAAAACCATGAACTTGACAAATATTCAGGAACTCAAACACTTCCATTTCAAAGCCAAAACTTGCATCAATCAGTAGAAGAATCTAACATCGCAAAAGAAATGAAAATAGATGAATTGTTACCTAGGGCTCACAGCAGCATAAACAACAACATGGTCTTGCTTTACTTGAAATATATTATATTTGTTTAATACAGTTCCAAACAACATCAGTAAAGGCAGCCAAACCTCTGTATTGAAGCTAGACAGCAGTTTAGCTTACAATTAACTCTTAGTATAATTATCTATAGTTCCATGAGCATTGCACATTCAACCACCATCTTGCTTTCATGCAAAGGCATGGCTGATAATCTTAGGAGGGTCCAATCTCCTAAAAAGTGTATAATTTTTCTTGTATCAGAACACTATGACTGTACACCCACCAGGTCTGCTATTTTAGCAATATCTATCATGGAATTGATATCATTCCCACATTCTATCAACGTGATTCTTCTCTTCTTTCCTGTAGAGACAATTGGATGTTAGATGAATCATTAGTGAGCAAAGCAGCAAACATGTTAAAGTTATCTAACCTGAGACAAGTGTAACAGGTCCTTGAATGTTAGAAAGATTCTGTCGAGTAAAGTTCTTRAGAAGTGAATTAATAAGTGTCGTTTTCCCTACTTTCGGAGGGCCAACTACAGCAACAATGATCGGGGGAGGTTCTAATGGTGTCCTATCAACAACTGGAACATGATGCTTTTTGGTTTCAATGTCCTTCGATCGGCGAAACTGTTTAGCAGCTTTTACGACTGAATTGAACGTGAAAGCTTTGGCATTATGTTTGCTATTGTTTGATTTGTCTTTATCTTCACTTCTACTTTTCTTTTTGCCGGCCTTTGGGCCAGATTGTTTAGGTCTATGCGACTTGCTTGAGTTGCTTTCTTCGTCCGCCATGTTTGCTCCCACGTGTGTTGATTTTARTCAGGCGTCTCTCGCAATGATGACAAATATACTTTTAAGTAGGGATGGGTAAAGTTTATCAAATTGTCTGCGATTTTTTTCTCGTGATAGAAACCTTACAAAGGTTTTCTTCTAAAAGAGATATGTTTTTCTTAATGATTTAACTTTTCAGGAATTTTTGACGTATATTCTCATCAAAACTGAATATATTTTGATTATTTTACAATTTATCTTTACCCCTCCCCTGATAAGACAGCTCTTGTCAACYTAAAGAAAAGCGTGGTTACCCAWCACGTGTAGAAWTCCAAGATGGCGGGCGTTCTGTTTGAGGATATTTTTGATGTGAARGACATCGACCCAGAAGGCAAGAAATTCGACAGAGGTTAGTTTAACTTTACTCGTTATATTTCATATAAGTCTACTTTATTAAGATTTGTTCATAGTTAGAATATTATCCACTTAAAGTGCGCTTTTTACATYAGTGTCCAGACTTCACTGCGAGAGTGAAAGTTTCAAGATGGACCTCGTTCTGGATGTTAACAATCAAGTTTATCCTGTCGAGCTTGGTGATAAGTTTCGATTAGTTTTAGCGAGTACATTAAAAGAAGATGGAACCCCAGACGATGGYGAATTYAATCCTACAGACACAACTCCCTCTAGAGCAGATCAGTTTGAATATGTTATGTAYGGTAAAGTCTACAGAATCGAGGGTGATGAAGGCCCYGARCCAGCAACAAGACTGTAAGTTAATTTGAATWAGTGCTAAGTCTCAAWTGTCTTGATGAATGTCACATTYATTGATATTGATACATCCKCCATTACCCAAGAAGTAAGGATATAATTAACAACCATTTGTTTGTATTTGTAGAGCAGCATATGTGTCATATGGAGGGTTATTAATGAGATTACAAGGAGATGCTAATAATTTACATGGCATTGAAGCAGATGATCATCTTTATTTACTAATGAAGAAACTGGCTTTTTAGGTTTTTGTATGGTATATTTTTTATCTTATTCACTGTTGTATATAAAAAAGAAATTCACTGACATGTTAAATGTAACTAGTACAATTACGTTCACTGATAGAAGAAGAAATTCACTGACATGTTAAATGYAACAATTATGTTAAATATAAAAACCATAGACTGTCTACCAGAAAAGACATCTAACAAGTAAATAAATGATGTGATTTAATATTTAATAACAGATTTTCCTGTATATTGCATAAGTTGAGTTTCCAGAAATTCCAGTTGGTGGAATTTGACTACAGCACATTATATTTTATCAGTGAAAAGAATAAATTATCATATGACCCGTATTTCGGCCCTACGCGCGCTCTCACTGAAACCTTTGGAAAATGGTCACGTGATGGGGTCCGTACGCCTTTTCGCGACAGGTCCGTACAAACCCGTATTTTCCCGGCTTGAAGTTCCGCGCGSTTTAATTTATTTTTTTACATTAAAAAACGCTGTCATATGATAAAATGCTTATTGACTGAGTTAGGTCGGGCCGTACGGGAAAATATTTGGCTCTCGGTCATTTGTACGCTGTCATATGATAAAATGCTTATTGACTGAGTTAGGTCGGGCCGTACGGGAAAATATTTGGCTCTCGGTCATTTGAGCAGGTGGTGGAGCTTAATTTTTCACATTTTCTAAGGAGCAATAAAAAAAAATTGAAGAAAAAAATATTCCATCTTTGCATTGCAGATATATCAAATTTAAGGTGATTTGGTGTTGACTAGAAAAAATTAACTATCACCATACATTTATATTTCTAATTTTATCTCAAATTATGTAATATTTATGTATATCAAAAAAACTTTAAAATCTTTTTTTTATCATATCTTGCTACTTACTGTCATTAATTCTACAGCCTGTTAAAAATAATTTCTTTCTCTTATAATGTATGGCCATAAATCTAAGGATTTCAACGTTTTTGCGATATTTGAGTTTCGTGATCTCGCTGTGTTAGCCTCAATTGTGTGTAAAATATGCAGAAATCTAGATAAAACTTGAGATTTCAAATGTTTTTCATTATCTTTTAAACTCACAAAATTGCTGAATAAAAGAATGTATTACATGGTTTTGAGTCTAGTACAGAGATCGCTAAAAGGGTTTATTCATTGTCTATTGATCATATTCTCATGCCAATGTTATTATTTCAGAGTTAATGTAGTTTATCGCGATTTGAAATGTTATTATTTATTCGACACGATTAACCTTGAACTGCGAGATTTTGGTTTTCCGTGTCATCAGCAATTTCACCAGATTTCCGTGGAAATCCTACAGCGGGAGTATCTTCCTGCTTTTCCGTATCGTCTTCCTGCTTTTCAGTGTCATCATTCTCCTCTTCAGTASCAAMCTCWCYTTCATGTTCTTTTTCTTTCACGGTTTCTTCATCTTTCTCGTCGTTTTGCTTTTCGTTGCTTGWGTCTTTTTCCTCGGTGTCGTCTTCAKTAAACGCTTTGCTTATATCCTCAATGATTTTCTTCACACATTCTAGGAATTCYTTCACTATTTGTGGTGCCTTTTGGACTTTTTTTCTGTTTTCGTTGAATGCTTTGACCTTCTTGGGCAACTTCATCAATTCCTTAGTTCCGCTGACCATCTGTTTAAAATCTTTCATGGGTTCGATGTTGGCGATGTCCTTACCACAYGCCTCCAGGCCATTCTCGACGTCGGGTTCAAGGTCGATGGTGGCTATGCCAGCAGACTTTACATCATTCAGGGCTTTGACAGCATTTCTATATGGTGCTGGTGCATCGACACCTTTGACGGAGTCTAGTTTAATCTCRCCATCAGTAGTGTCAATGTAGATGTGAATTTTGCCCTCTTTCGCCTTCTTTTTGAGTTCATTAATGTATTCTTTGAACTCTTTTTCACCATCAAAGTTACATAATGTCTTCATTATCTTCTCGAAAGATTCTCTGGCTTGCTGGAGTTTTTCTCTGTTTGTTACGAGCCTATTCAGTGTTGTGGTGACATCTGTAAATATCTTGTCGATGTCGGCCAAGCCCACGGTTTCCATCTTCAACTGCTTCTGATATTCAGTTTTCTGCTTATCGTCATTCTTTTTAGCGTCTGCTTTCTTGTCTTCATTCTTTTTTGGTTCTTCTTTGACATCTTTTTTCTTCTGTTTTCCGTCCTTTCCCTTCTTTCCAGTCTTGCCTTCTTGTGCCTCTGTTTGACTGGCTTCTTTGATGGTTGTACTCTCTTGTACTTTTTTTACATCTTCTCCCGTTGTATTCTCGTTGTCATCGTCGTCCCTGTCTTCGTCGAGAACTTTGCTTATGTCCTCCACAATACTTTGAACTTCTTCGCAAAAATCTGTTACCATTTTTGGCGATGATTTCAGCTTTTTGAGGTTGCTCCCCAGATTTTTCTTGAATCGTATGATTTTGCAACAATCGAAAACGCCAGAAAACTCRCGRCGAATTATGTGCTCAAGATTTTCACAACTAGACTCTGCCTCTGTCACGGCTGAACCACTGGCTGATGTCACTGTCTCAGGCATGTCTGAYATASAATCAAAAGGAGAAACGTTTCATAAAAGAAACAGTGATTTTCATTAACTATTATAGTTTACCTTCCAGCGCTTTTGATGTCGATATGATAGTTTTAATCGCGTCAACTGCATCTTGTACAGCTTTTACAGACCTGGAGCCAACTCCGTAAACTTCAACCGCTCCATTTTTTATCTTTATGAATATGCCTGTTAAACACACAACAATTATACTACCATTAGTACACTGCTGCTAACGGATTTCTCTRCGCACCCAACCCAAATCTCCTTCGCCGTAACCGTCACGGTTAAAAAAAGTTTTTGTTGCGCGCTTTTGTCACATGAATGTCAGAGGAAGGAACAGTAGTACTCCACAATGCATTGCGTTTCAGACTATATTATCTCCTGCATGAACGTCATGGGGGTAAGGATTTACAGAAAACGTTTAAGAAACTGTTAGACAATTAGTTAGACAATTATATAGTAAACATTGATTGTTTGTATTGACTTCGTCCTTGCTCTCATTTTTATCGACATAGATATGGATCTAATCTTTTGTCGATCAGTAGATATCCCATGATACCTTACGGTCATGTTGCATACCTTCGTTTTTCAACGTTGTTTTCAGCGTTCTCACATACTCGCGAAACGTAGCTTSCGGACGGACRTTTTGCATCGATTCCACTGACGTTTTGAATTTTTTTACTGATTGCTCAAGATTTTCTCTGTTCTTCACAAACGGGTTCAATACCAAGGCGTAACCCTCGAAGACGCTGTCAAATTCTCGAACTTCAAGCTTTGTGAATTCTAATTTTGATGATTTTTTAGGTTTGGTTTCTTCATTCCCATCCCCATCTTTATCATCTAAAAGAGGTTTCATCTCATCTTTCGACTAAAATTAAAATAGAACAAGACTCAGCCTAAATRATTTTTTTTTGTATTCCGAGTGGCGGATTTTTTTATTCTCCCACTCCCCCCTTCCCCCTTCTTGAAGGAAATTGTTGTTCGCCCCCGAGCGTTACTTTTGTTATCTTTATATGTCACGCAATCCCTCACAAGTTCCTGGAACTGGTTGTGTCTTGAGCAATAAAGATGACATTAAGCACAGTGTTTTTCAGAATTATTACTTCGTGTTTCTTATTCACATAAATTAAAAAATAACAATTTCAACATGTTATCTTTTGACCGCATGCAAAGAAGCATGCATCCTCGTGTTCGACCTATTGTAGGGAGTCTAGGGAGAAAGCCTTGTATTGTAAATGACGTCAGTATCTTCTCAATCAGGACTAATTATGAGTAATTTCACGTTAATTATTGATTACTCATTTAGAAGATCGATGTACATTTTCTATTTGATTTCATCCAAATCGTCATTAATTGTACAATAAAGAAGGACACTTTGAAAAGAGTTGTGCAAACAGGTTTCCAAATCACTCAACGAAGTTTTTAGTGCACAGCTTTCAGAGATCACCAATTTAAATGTATTGAATATAGTGTATAGAGATTCAGACTGGTGTCAAGAAATAAAACGATTGCTCGAAACYAATATCTCAGTCTGTCATTTCCGTAATGTCACCTTCAATGGGTCTTCAATTTGATGCATGATTGTGAGATCTCTGACTCACCTCGTCACTACTGAAACAACAGCCCATTATCGATGCCTGGAAGAATTCCTTCCTACGAATTCCCTTTTCTTGCTAGCTTCTTGTGTGAATTCCCAGAACTAAGTATCTTACTCACGTGTTTACAGAGTGACATTTCCGCCTCAGATCAGTACCCCCCCCCCCCTCCTCCTCCTTCCTACCCCTCCTCCCCATCCCTCCACTGTGAATATATTAAAGATAATTTGTTGTTACTGTAAAAGTACGAAAATGAAACTAAAGAACCAACGTTAACATGGTAACAAAAACGTAACAAACAAAAATGTTGTGAATATCAATAAAATATAAACCCACTTCATATTTGGGGCTCCTGTGCTTTTTCCTCGGCACCATTCTCTCTCTGTTTCTCTCAAATAGAAAAGACGCTTCCGCTGTTGGTCATGGTAAAAGTTGTGGTATTGTGTTTGTTGTATTGTCTTAGGAATGGACGCTGGTACAGCAATATAGGTTGTTTATTCTACTGAACAGGTAAGAGAAAAGACACCTCAACAGATTGTGAGGAATAGACTTTGATAAAACGAACGAAAAAGTAGATTGCAGGGTTCAGTCTTCTTCGAAGCTGTAAGGTTAACTTATCAGAATATGCCTAAAAATAACGACGACGCATTTCAGAATATCAATTCTTCGAAGTTGAAAATGTAAAAGCTTAAGTTATCTATTGATGTCAGCAGYAAATATAAGGGATTTAAAGATGATATACACATCGATCCGGCCTGAAGCAGCATACGTGTTTAAAGTATTCTGTAATATGAACCTTAATTTTCGATTAATTTTATTCCCGGTCAGTTCATATTGATGAGATCTACACCKCTTTCCAAAAGCATCTTCTTTGAATAACATATAGTAGAAATTACCAGCAAAAAGTCAAAGAAGGAATCAAGTAATCACTCGACATTGAATAAACCGTATCTTAATTCCTTCACAATATAGTCGGATGACTCCTTTTAGTCCCGAACCCCTACTGATTATCAAAGAATAAATATCTGGCCATGCCGCTTTATCCCATCCAACACTGGGCCTAGGAGCTGGCATTATTTTTGCCATTATTATTAAGTATAAACTTGTTTAAAGATGGTTTACAAAAGATGTTAACTTTCTTTTGTTTCTATGCAGTAGCTGTTACTGGTTAATGCAGGTGAAACTCCTAAACCACCCAGGAGYACCCTACCTCATGTAAAAAGGGTCAAAGACTACCTTATTGTGTTAAACACATGATGCAGTGTTTAGCTCATTTATCTTAATTCAATGCTGCAAAGCTTGGTCATAAGTCCCTTTATTTCAACAAGAGTTTTTGAAATAGCAATTTCCTTTAATTTAGACATAATGATCCCCTTACCTCCCAGTGGATAAAARCAGCATGAAATCCCTGGCCATAATGTATTAATTTCTGGGCCCTCCASAGGGGTTTTGGGGACCAACAATCACTCTTTGTAATAGATTTTTGGTAAGGCTTCCCAAACCCACCTGTTTTAAAAATATAACTACTTGTGSACATTGATACATTAGTTAAAAGCAAAATATTCATTATTTTCCAGTGATCGGTCTGGCAAGCATGGAAAGTAACTGTTGGTATTCTTTTAAAGATGAAACTGGTTTACCAGTCGTGTTCTTTAATTCAGAAACAGGAGAACATAGATGGTCCAGTGCTTTTAAGCATGTTAAGGTGAATTATTTATTAGCAATTGTTGGGATTTGGTCATAATTCTGTCATCAATGTAAATTATCATTTTTGTAATTATATGTTTCTTTTTTTAGTGTTCAAGAGCTACTATTGATGAAGTTCCACCAAAGTATCATGATGATGATACTATAGTACTGCAACGAAAAGTAAAAAGTTTTCAAAATATTGCAACTGAGACAGATAAAGACTTCTTTCCAAGACAAACCATTTGTACAAATGCTGCAACTAATACAGACCATGTTTTTCTTGAAGAAGGTTCTTCATTTTTAGAGARGTTCGAACAAAACAAAGARAAAGAATCACATGGCAGACAAGAAGGTGTAAACTTGTATGGTGCAGGTGAACAAGAAGAGTTCACATCAGCAGCATCTCCACTGGGAAATCCTTTCAATATTGACTCCAAGGAAGAAGATGCAATGGATCATGAATATGGACAGTCCAAGGAATCTCTTGTGCATAATTTATTTGCCATGGAACTTTCATCAGTTCTTTCCTATGAGGATTTGCAACAAAATGACTGCCATGAGAACCAATATGGGACAAATACRATGCCTAGAAATGTAATGGAAAATGAGAAAGAAAAAGATGAAAAAATGAGACAATGCGATCCACCTATGATGAAGATCAAAGTTGAGCCAGAAAGTGATCAAGTTCATGAAGAGCAAATGTACGGCAATGGAGACCAGACTTCAGGCGATTTCAGCCTTGTTGACCTTTTACCAAGAAAACAAAAGCGAAAACACAGATGTACTCTTTGTAAGACATGGTTTAAAACTGCTTCAAATCTTGAAAGACATATGATGTTTGTTCATTCAAATGAAATGGAAACAAAGCCTCGACCTCATGCTTGTACTATTTGTGACAAGAGGTTTGTAGAAGCTAACTGTCTTAGGAAACATCTGCGCACACATACTGGAGAGAAGCCCTACCGTTGTCCATTTTGTGGYAAGGGTTTTGCTCAGTCACAGAACCTCAACAAACACAAGTACATCCATACAGGCTCACGTCCTCATAAGTGTAAAGTTTGTGGGAAGACATTTCGACAACACAGCCACTTAGCAAGGCATAAACTTATTCACACTGGAGAAAAACCGTATCAATGTAGTGAATGCCCAAAAAACTATCGAACTAGGAGTCATTTAATTAGACATTTTAAATCCAGTAAACACAAAGGCCTGATTGACAACTCAAAGAAACCTGTCATTGAACCTTGCATTCAAACAAGCCCTGSTGATGAGGTTTGATAGATCTTGTACACTGTATTAAGGGAAAKTAACCTAATTTTATTGAGGGAAGTGTCAATCATTGAAATGGTGGTGTATATATAATGATTTTAATGATTTTGGTAACCATASGGTTTCTATCAATATTGTCCAGGATATAACCTGTACATATCCAYTTGGGGTCGGGRAAACTGGCAAGGTYTATTATGTGAGAWTTGTTTTAAAAGAACTTTCTACAACCTTGCTCCCTGTTAATGAAGTTAAAACAACTAACAATCAACTGTGATATTAAATGGAATAAGTGAATAAAATGAATGAAAGAAAATGACATTTTAAGATAATGTGTGCATCTTAGCTCGCCATCCTTACTCACCTACTGAACCTCTAATATCTATACCCCACTTATTRTCTTAAAAAGAGCTTTCAAGTTAGAGTTTTGAAGAGATAGTGATCAGAAGTGTTTATATGCTTATTAATGCACTGACTCTCTATTAATAGACAATCTTTTTCTTATKTACAAAAAACGTTTTTATCAAAGASTGTCAGAATGAAAGYCTGAGTTCAATGGTTCCTTTAATTTCTAGTAGTTTTAATCGTGGATAATAAAAGCACTTTTATGATCCATGTTTTAATCATGAACTGAAACGGCGGCCGCGTGTAACTGAAAAAATATTTATTGAAGCTCTTGATCAAAGACGGTTTAAAAGGCACTCTTAAWTCGCGGACGAATAAAACTGAAAGCTCACGAGATCGTGACATTTTGTTCGTCATTTCTGTGTCAATATTGACACAACTTACCAAACCCGTTTTGGAGGAAAAGTTAAATCAACATCATAAAATGAAAAGTCAGTATCCATGAAACCGCTCAAGACTTTGAATGGATGACTTGACTTAACGAATGTAACACACCCAGTCAATCTGTTCATTTTATGGAATGTCACGTTCTCTAAGGTTAAAAATGGTAAACATCCACTAATATTAGTGAGTATGAATAAGGAAATGATTCAAGCTTGCCAATGTGTGTAAACGTAATTTAGTTTCAATTTACAAGTTCCTGTTTCATGGCTGAGCCTGAGGAAATTAGTTCCACCACCCAATGCTTGACGATATTAAACATACAGTCCTTGTATATACCGTTCAATTGGGAAGTTTAAGAAAATGAGTTGAAAAAGGAAAAGATTGTTAGCGTAGGTTCTGATTTGACAAAAAAAGACAACATTTTTTAGTTTAGATTTCGCTCTCAAAGGACATGTATGTATGCCAACCATGGTGCATTAGTACGGTTGCAATTTATAGGAAAACATTCCTTGTCTCGATTTGATAATGTTTCTATTTCAAAGTTTTACTTCCTCGATCCAACAATRGAAGGAAGTTTTGGTTCTTCAAGTTGATGTTAGTTTTCTTTTCTCTGGAAAAATCCGATATTTGATGCTACTAATAGTCAGCAGTTGGCCTGCACTACCATAGGGAATGATCCTGCACCACTGAGAACATATGGCACAATTATTATTATTGAATTAAAAGCAATCTCCATACAATATTAATTTCACACCAAATGATACGAGGAAGTTGGTACATAACCACTAGACACACATCAGACTGAATCATTTAGTAAATGGCTGAGTCACGACTTAAAGACTTCTGTCAACTGAAAAACGACGACAACTGTTTAGTTGTATGGCTCGACGAATCTTAGTATAGCCACAGGTTCATGGAGCAGCCCATGCAATCAATACTAGTGGAGATATGGCACTGGTCTCRATTGTCAGATTGATTTATTGAAATAAGCAATATTGGGAATGTAAGGTTTGAACAGTAGCAAGGAAAAGCATGTCAAAATTTCTCCTTTTCTGCAAACACAGAGTATTTCTCAGGTGTTTACAACGCGCCGTGGTGGTAATAGATAAGAAAAAGGGACAGTTTTTTTWAAAAAAAAGAACATGAAAAATGATATTGAACAAATTTAATACTAATAATGTGTAGAATGATTTCTTTGGAATGAATTTTTTTTTCGATAGTTGGATCCATGTTCACTCGGTAAATGTCAGCTATCTTGAGTTAATGTAGAAAAATGTACTACTATCTTAAACCGATTTTCTCTTCACTCGAAAACTAATGAATTTCTCTTTGCTTCTASAGTATTTCYTTGCAGATGTTTTTGAAAAACTCCCTCATGCTATCAGTGAGCATGCTCACACTGGTATATGCTTCTGACCAATGTAAAAGTGTTCATTCTGTGTCTGACCGCATTCTTCAAGGTTTTGTTATACGGTCTATCTCACARAAAAGCGTTCATAGCTGTATCATCGAGTGTGAAGAAGAATCGAATTGCTTCAGCACAAATTATTTGTTTCCCAACATAACTTGCCARCTKAACAGTGCGACTGCAGAGCTACATCCCGATAACTTTGTATCCTGCCAAGATGCAATGTACTTAAAGAGCCTGGTACGAGATGAGAGTGAGGYAGTCAAGGCTGGTACGTCATGTGATCAGACGTGCGGAGGATTATGTGTTTCCGTCCCAGGCTCCTTTRCWTCTACGTGTGTTTGTCTGCACAGCAATCCAAAGGATTGTCAGGCAAATGGTAAGTGACTAAAATTATACAAATATATTTTTGGCTAAAGGTTTATTTTTCAACGTTTCGTTCTTCCAAATTATGCATTTYCAGCRTGTGTTCCACGAGCATTAGGAATGGAAGATGGAAGAATCAAAGACAATGCAATTTCAGCYTCAACTAYACATCAACAARGCTCGTTAAAGGAAGCACGGCTAAACAGTGGTACTGCTTGGACTCCTTTAACAGACGATGATAAGCAATGGTTGACAGTAACATTTGACTCGATAAAAATCGTGACCAAGATAGCAACGCAGGGACACAAAATAAATTGGTGGTGGACAAAAACATACAAGATACAATATAAACATAGTGGATCGTGGACTGATTACATAKATAACGCGAACAATAATATCAAGGTATCGTTTACTGATATACTACTGTACCTGAGATGATGACCACCAAGTTAACATTCCCAATACTCTATTTTCAAAATGCGAATGACCGCTGTTTTATTTTGAACACAGATTCTCTTGCTGGCCGTACCAAACACAAGAGATTGTAGCCTGAGTTTCATATAGCGTTTCATCCTCGTAAATACCGCGTTATTGTAGAGAATAAACCTGATGTACGCAGCCTAATAAAACAGCGGATATTCGCTTTCAATTCGAAAGTTGAGCATTCCAGTTCATAGCTATTTGACAATTAGACCTCGAGGTCGAGTGGACTACGAGCTAATAGCCCATGAGGCCGAGTCCGCGACCATTAGTAGAGTAGCCAATCACAGCGCAGTATGAGTGACCATGTGTGAGTGACCATCAGTATGTTTATACTAAAGTCTGATATGTTGTTCTTATTGTATTTTAGATCTTCTCAGCAAACACACAAAAAGGGAACACCATTGTAAACAATTCTCTCACTCCACCTGTAATTACMGATTCTATCAGGATAAGACCAGAAACATTTTCCGGACGAATGGCATTACGTATAGAATTATATGGGTGTACCACATAATATATCAATGATTGATTAATAGTTATCTGAGCAGTGTGGACCTCATGATTCGCAGGAATTATTGAAATGACTTCTGATCGGACTGTGAACAGCCGGGTCATGTAAATCTTATTCATTATGTATATAAAGGCGTGTCCTACACGTGGTTGGGTGTTTAATCAGCGGGTCGAATGTACGATGACTTGATCAGGTGTGTTATGTACGCGGTTATCTTGAAAGAATCATAAGTATAATGTAATGATGTACAGTATGACTGTAAATATCACGACCCGTACCGTAGAGTGTATAAAATGCCTTAATATCATAAACTATCATGTTTGTGAGTAAACAATTAAACAATTTCTATGTGAATATGTCATCATCTTGCTGCGAGTTTCATGTGTGATCGTTATTCTTCTGTTCGTTGTCTTGCTGGTGAACGATGGTCAGAGATCCTGTGCAGCCATATTTTGACACATTGAGAATTGCGTGTCAGAGTAAGCAAACAGAGTAAGCAAAAAGATATATCGTCATGATGCGTTTGACAACGCTGTCAAACGAATGTCGTAGTTTTAACATCTGTATTGGTCACATCTTTCGTAGCTGCGKTTGCCAACGTCCGCGCTTGATGCAAAACTTAAAATACGATTGAAAAGAGCTTTCTTTTTTAAACAGTTAATTGAGTTGAAAAAAAAAAAACAGTGAAAGGAAAATAATTGACTGAGAAAAAGTAGAAGTGAAGCATTTGCAGAGCATATAAAGTGTGCTTCAAAGAACAAAGAGAAGTAGTTTTTACATTCAACTACTATTTTCAAGTTCTGTTTGAGTCTAGCAACGAAGAGTCGAAAACAGCGATGGCAAGTGTTCTTCTTCAGATATTTCCTTTCATCATTTTATCATGGATCAAGGTTTTCCCTAAGTTAACAATAAGTCACAAAAACTGTCGCACAATCACACCTATACATGGTTATTGTCTTTCTGAGAAATATTCTCACCTAAAGATACACAGTGTTTCACTGGAAAGATGTATTACTGAATGTGAACGCAATTCAAAATGTTCTTGTTTGAGTTATCGAAAGAACACCTGCACGATTCATACTGTCRGTCAGGATCTYTCGTATGGTRATTTTATAAAGGACGAGTCTTGTACTTTCTTAGAGAATGTCCTTCAACCTGATTCRTGCTMTACTCATCATTGCGCGGGGATGTCGTCCTGTACGTGTTGGTGTGAGAAGAGACRCTCAAATGGTAGCTGTGCAGGTATGAAGGAAAARAGRGAATGGTGGTGGGACACTGGYTTCACGARTGAATAATGATGATAATCTTGTATGACTTTGTTTTAGAGTGTGGCTCACGAGCCCTAGGAATGCATTCACGTGACATCATCRAAGACAAACAAATTACTGGAAGTAAATCTGTACTAACGTACGAACCTGTCAATGGGAGACTGGGTTCTAGGAAAGGATGGGTGAGCTCGATCGCATCAACTAAAATATACATCCAGGTAAGAGCTGGGCTGCCTGTGAACCAGGTTCATTCACATTGTTATCAGTGGATATTCATTCGTAGAACAGTTTTTCTCTACATACAGCACAAGCTGTAGTGGTAGCTCTTCCTAGCCAAACAATGCTAGTCAAGGACACCTGTGTTTTACTAGTCAATGCTAGTCAAGGACACCTGTGTTTTACTAGTTGTAATTCTTTTTTCTCTCGTTCAGAAGTGAATCACAGGAAGCCCAACAGTAGTCATGGAAACCAACATTTGTATACTTTTAGGTTTCATTTTCACCAACTAAGAAGAACTTGACACATATCGCAAGCCAAGGAAGTCCGACATTCTTTTGCTGGGTTACGAAGTACACCATTGAATACACGAAAGATAAAGACTTGGGAAACTGGGAAATATACAATACTAATGACTCATCTCCATTTGTAAGTATCCTAGTGTGATTCATGAAAGTAATAGGCAGTCGAGGACTGCATGTGACTCAGGCCATTAAGAGATTTAGTAAACTCTGAATACACTATCTTCAGTATAACAACGTTTTCTGAATCATCTGTATACGCTGCAACGAACTGGAAGCATCACTAGGTGGCGATCAACCATTACGTTGCCTATGAATACACAACAGACGGCGATTCCCAGGGGCCAAGGAACATATTGTGATGGTTGATCATTCCTCCCGTGGGGCCTGACGCGGGGCGCCCCGTTTCCTTATTGCCTAATAAACATATCCGTCYTAAAGATTCGGATAAGGAATTTTTTATCCACGACATTGAGCGGTCCTTAAAGCTTTAATTTAGCTGTAATCAAAGACATCTTTCTGTATCTGTTGACTTATAAACTCATGATTAATTTTCGAACGTTATCTAAACTGTTTTTCACATCCGTGTTTTAAAATTACTATTATTCGCTTGATTATAGTTTTGCAATAAAACCGAAAGCTTGCTAAGCTTTCCTTGATTTATTTATCAATTTTATACGGATTATCATTCATCCTCTTCAATTGTTAACATTCACTATATTTTATGTTCAATAATGTGTAAACTTTTAAATCATCMAGAACGAAAATGTGAAACGTTCTAGAGGTTTTTAATTTGGTTCCGTTGAATTCCAGCAAATATCTGTCTGGTTTGTAAACCRCTTACGTTAAGAATTTCAAAGAGATTTGTGCCATGGTGTTTATCCGAATGTCTATCTGAATAAGAACTGCACACCTAATTTTCCTGTGATGATTTGGAAAACAATAACGACAATTGAACAGCAGTAAAAGCCGTCATATAACATCGAACATCGGTATTCGGCCGCAAACCAGCACTCAGCACCCATCCCCACCCCCATCAAATGATAAATCTACTGAAGAATGATTATGCAAAGCCTGATTCGTTTGCTAATTCCCGAGCTGGGCTCTGATTGGCTCGTTGATCCCTAAGGATTTTGGTGACGTCATATATTAGCATAGAACTTCACCGAATAGACTACCCCAATTAGATATTAGATATCTATAAGTGTCTTCATAGTACGATGGTCTAAGAGGGTAGCTAAAGGTATGCTCTAGTGGGCGGCTACCCCCTCACTCCCTGGCCTTTTGGTTAAGACTAAGTTTTATGTTCACTCGGGATAGCGTGGAAGAGCCGAAATCTCTAACCGTAACGTAAGCCGATTCGACGCCTCAGCTTCATAGAATGTCTCGGGGGAATCGTCCCATTTTTTAGTTTTTTATTATTTGATTATTTCTTATGTATTCAGGGGGGGTACATCTTCTCCTGAAATGAAAGTTCTGAGTTCGAGTCCTGCTTCTGGAATTTCTCTTTTTTTTCGCTTTTTTATTGTTTCTTTTCCGGGTTTTTTTTCAGTTTTCGCTTTTTCTTTTCTTCTTTTCTTTGCTGTTATTACTTGGTTTGTTTTTCTTTAGAAATTTTCTCKTTTCAACTTAAATATRTCAAGGACTCGCAAGGAACGCCTGCTAAAAGTGGATGGTTACGGTTCGTTCACTCAACACGATGACGTCGTGACGAGAGGCCCCTTAAGGCCTTTCGTTACAAAAAACAAAAAAAATCAACAAAATTGCAAAATATCAAAATATCAACGTTTTCACTAGAATGCATATAAGCATAAAMATGTTCAGTTGAGTAATTCATATTTCGAACTGATTAACTYGATTGATTCTTTGTCAACAGATTTTTCAAGGCAATGTTGATCAAGCCAGCATTGTCAAGAATGAACTGCCCAGACCGCTGATTGGCATAACTGCAATAAGAATCAGAGCTTACAAATGGTCAATATGCAACCATATTGCAATGCGTATCGAGTTATATGGCTGCTGAATCATCAAGAATTATTGTCAAATACAAAAACAAACAAAGAACACCAGCAAAAGTACTCAGATGTTATAATAAAAGATAATATAGTTTTATTGAATATGGCATAACTGATGACACTACAAATTGTACTAGAATTACAAGAACTATTGATTGTTATATCTTGTGTTGATCTCGATTTAATCTTAACTATGCAATTGTAAGGTGAAGACATAACATTCACTAATTCACCTCCTAGGGGTATAACATTGAAACTAGGATAAAAATGAAATAAAAAATGGAAGCTAAAAGCAGAATGTTTTGCTTTCTTTCATTTCATCCAAATTGAATCGTCGAGCTCTGTGTAATTAATGTTGCAGAGAYCGTAATCTATTTAAATCCCTATAATTCCACGATGATCAAGTGCTAAAATTCTCGAGTCAGGCTAATCAAAGTATATCTCTTCCGTCTAACAAGCAAGGCGAAGGTAAGCTGTGTTTGGGGCTCCTGCCCTATTTTGTTTGTTAAGACGTTATTGTTTTGTTAGTTTTTAGTTTTCGGTTTGTTTATATTTTACTGTAAATGACACATACTTGGATACATTAGAGGAAGAATGAAAATCAAAGAAAAATGGTAAAAAAATGGGTGTAGAATTTATAAGCGAGGTGTGGCCGAACAGTTGTACAGCGCTGAATATAGCCGAGCTGTAGGGAGAAAGAACAGTTATGTAAGTGTCATGTGATCTTCCGGGTGCGAAAAGCCTTGAAAAAGACTAGTTATAGGACGTTTCGACATCCTGCGTGGAAGAAGTAGTAGATGACCTTCACACAGGATATGGCAACTATAACTCTCAAGACGGGCGATCATATCAAACACATCGCTGTGTTCAGACTATTCATTCTCAAAGAACAGTTATTAACAATTGCTATGTACTGTTTATCTTAATAGGCAAAGATGACAATTCTGYGCCGGATCATTGTGATTTTGTTAACAGGTATGTTAACATTCAGTTCAAAGTTACAACAAGTTAGAAGTACATCATTAGAAAACGATTTTATTATCGGCTAAACTAAGAGAGAACTTCCCCAAACTGTTTTGTATTGAGGACTAATGATATTTTTTTCCTGTAGCTTTTCTCAAGGTCCATAGCTGCAGGGCAGAGCCGAACTCAGAACACTTWAAGGTAATTGATCGCCTTTCACACGAGTGCATGCAGTTTCAARTGAGACTTTTTAGCTATCGGTAARGTTAATCGGTATCTCAGTTTTTTTTCTTTTTTCTTTCCTWTTTTGATGGGATGATGAACATTTAATAAGAAACGGTTGCTGTTTTATTTGTGGTGTATTGTATATTTTGATTTATTGTAAGTATTGCATGTTCTGATATATATCAGCATACAGTATGCTAAAAACAGGGATTAGCATTTGAAAACATTCTTCTAATGAGAAAAGAATAATAATTGATTTTGAATTGGTAACGCGGGATGTGAGAGGGCATGTTGTGAGGATACTCTCGATCGCTGAGTTCCCAAACTCCATATAGATGGATCAACTCTAATCAAATGACCACGTTGGCGTTTTCTCGAAGATGAAATCATGATAGCTTCGATTTACAATTCTCTTCGTTCAAAATTGATTGTGATCAGTTATAGTTTGAGCTCTAAAATATCTCAATTGAATATAGAATTTGCATCAATACATGACAAAGGGGCAGCTTCAGGAGACCTTTAACGTTGATCATCCTGATGATGGTAAATAAACGACAAGAAATCCAAAAGTATATTACTTCTGATAACCAATTAAACCAACGCAACAACACTCCAACAACTCACCCACCCATCCACTATACAACAACAACAACAACAACAACAAAAAACAATACTTCAACAACTACAAAAACAAAGTATATTCAGACGATTCGCTCAAAAGAATGAACTTCAGTGTCATGAATAACCTTAGCTGCAAACACTGGAAAGAGAATCGCGCACTATAAGGTTGTAAATTTGATGTAAAAATTATGTTCAAATTTAAATCATTTTGGACACACATAATATTTACATCAAATTTACAACCATTAAAGTGCGTGATTTTAAAAATATTAAAAAAATGGTTTATTTCGACACAGTGCCTGAGTATGATGTAACACACCCGTACCAGTCCACCTCAGATGGRCAATTTCTCTCTCATGACTTGCGCAGAAGACGAAGTAGTGATGAGCACCACTATTCAATTAAATCSTTTGGTAAAACACTTCACTTGAACCTTAAAGAAAATAAGGACCTGGTTGCACCTGGCTTGATGTTAGAGTCTTATATTGATRGTCAGGTTAGACGGTCAACACTAGTACCCAGTACTCATTACTTTGGACGAGTAAAACACCATCCTGGGTCGTCTGTTGCTCTTAGCAACCATGGAACTTTAGTAAGATATAGATTTATGTTATCTMGTAGAAGTTTAGATTATGCCTTTACACATTCGATATGATAATTCATATATTTTTGCCTCGATCAGTCTGGTAAAATTGATTTGAGCGATGAAACCCTGTATATTCGTCCTTTTCCAAGAGGACTGCTCGAGGGAAGCGATCGAACTCCACATTTCATTTTTAAACAAACAAAGGACAACGTAGAAGAAGGAGTGGCATTTGACGACAAAACAAGTATGTATTGAAAACATTCTTCCTTCCTTCTTTTCTTCATTTCTTTTTTACTGGCTTTCAGGTGATTACGACAAGTCATTCTATCACATCTCAGATCAGGCYGATAACGGATTTAATATGAAACTTGCTGACAAAAACAACCAAAACACAAAGAACTATTTAGAACTCGCCCTGGTTACAGACGAGAAAGTTGCCAAAAAGTATGGTAAAGGAACGTCTGATTTTTTACTAACAGTCGCAAACATCGTAAGTGGGTGTGAACGATGACGTTCATTCAATCCATCCATCCACTTTTTTTTCATTTTTGCCATTAATGCCTGTGTTATTCTTTCTACACAGGCAGCCCAAGCTTTCCAGCACCCATCAATTGGCGATAATAAAATCACTTTAGTAGTTACAAGACTGGTTATCCTTTCAACCAAAGAAGTAATCATCTCTCCATCCAACTTTATCAATCTTTATATATTTGAATTGCTCGAGAACCGTTTGTTATATAAAGTATACGTTTGATCTCTGAAAAAAAATAAGAGCGATAGATTAATATTTTACGTGGGTCTGCACTTTAATAGATACACAAAAGACCTCAAAGTGTGATAAGAACTATACAGTCACGCTATTCGACGCACGGAAAAATGGAGTATTGGTTAAATAGAAGTCTCACACTAACTAATTCTGTTATAAATTGTTTGTATTCAGCTGAATGCTACTAGTTATTCTACAAAGGACCAGCTAAGGGCCATCGAGAAATGGATGAATCGTAATAATCCTCATTCAGACAATGATCCCGGTCACTACGACGCGGTTTCACTAATGAGGTAAACCRCGAAAACCATTTCTTAATACTTAGATTTATTTTCTGCTACAAAAGGACTTCATAAATCWCCTGCTTCAYCGRTATTTATTCATTGAACTTRTATGTCATTTTTAACTATTTACAGAAGTGTGTCYGGAGGAGGTTTGGCGTCTCTTGGMACAATGTGCCGGAGAGTKAGTGCTAACACAATYAGTGAGAATGGCATMACATCATGGGCTGTTTTAGCACATGAACTTGCTCACAAGTAAGGACCCCTCAATTATTCTTATGTTCATCACTAACAGTAAAGTAATCATTTCATCAATGTTTCAGCCTTGGCATTGGACATGATGRCAGTAAAAACTGTTCTAACGGAGTTAACATTATGTCAACGGTAGTACCCGGTGGTCCAGGCTCATTTGAATGGTCACAGTGCTCTGCTACGAGGTTCAACTTATTATTCAAGTAAGTATCTCAGTCATATGTTCATTATATTATATGATCATTAAATATAGAGTTCCTGTGCTACTCAATCATTATGATGATTATAGATATTCTCAATTTCATGTTTCAGTCAAAGTAGATTCAGTTGTCTTAAAGATGCTCCTCAAGCCAGTCCAATCCCAACTCGTTTGCCAGAACTTCAAGGCAAAAAGCCAGGTGTTATTTACAACAAAACTGTTCAATGTCAAATGCGGTATGGTCCAGGGTTCGTAGCTTGTGCTGGTGGAGACCCCGTGAGTATGTTTTCATATTATTAACGGTCTAATCATTCCACAACTACACAAGGTCTTTATTTTCAGTGTTCAAAGCTGTGGTGCGCAAGAAAAGAAAGTCCGTTGGTTTGTTCAACTAGTTTAGCAGCTCCAGCAGACGGGACACGATGTGGCATCAGAAATGTAAGAAATGATCAAGATTAGAATGGTTCCTAGAATATTGAAAATAGTTGATTATAGCCCACCAAAATGGTGCATTATTCTATAGCCATGATCTATTACAAGCACATTATAAGACGATGTTTGATTTTTCCCCAGTGGTGCATCCAGGCAAAATGTGTTGACGATGGATCTCCCGTAATTCATGGCGGGTGGAGTAGCTGGTCTGACGTCACTCAATGTAGCCGGTCATGTGATCGTGGGATAAAATACAGAACACGAACTTGCACCAAGCCACCGTTAGTATCGATTTGGATGAATAAATGATTAACTGAGATGCAATATTTATTGTTCTTCTCTGTATCATCATTCAGTCCTCAAAATGGTGGAAACAAGTGCGCAGGCCTCGCTAAAGGTCACATAGAGGTCTGCAATATACAGGTCAGCGGTGCTTGTTGTTTATCTTCAAACTGAGAAGATCCATAATATAATTGACCTGGTTAAATTATTTTATTATTATTTTAGGAGTGTTCACCTGCCCAGACGTCATTTAGAAGTCAACAATGTGAAGCAAAAAAGGGGAAAGAATATAAATCATTTCACAATCACCGTATGTAACCCTAGTAACCCTGCATTGGGCGCGTATTCTTGTTTTGATTAATTTTAATTAGGCTTATTGTATAGCTGTATACCTAAATGCCTAAGCTTTGAGACCTCTCGTATCTGCTGATGTCTTGTGCAATATCAAGTTATGAGCGGGAAGTTATSATTTGTCTGTTTACTAGACGGTTGTATTTATAGGTAGCTGTGATCTGAGGTGTAGGAAAGGTCCATGGGTTCATGCARACGGTCAAGTCAAAGATGGATCTAATTGTGATCCTGACAAGACAGTATTCGATGTTTGTATTGAAGGACAGTGTCTGGTGAGTTTGGACGAGGGTTTCACTGTGTAAAAGGGGACTAGGGGACCACGGATAAATATTTGATCGATGGAAACCAGCGAAARAATTGTGCTCTTCAAAAATGATGAGGAAAGTGTAGCCGTTACACAACTGCTTTTACAGTCCAACGTGTTGAAATGAAGACTTTTTATAAAGGCTTTTTATTAGTATTTTTATGAAGTGTATCTATTGTAGATGGTTGGGTGTGATCTCAAGGTTGGTTCAAATGCTAGACGTGATCGTTGTGGTATTTGTAATGGTGACGGCAAATCCTGTGAATTCGTTAATGGATCCTTTACTTTACCGCATCGTCCCAAAGGTAAACACTTGTCATTGTTCTTTCCTTTATTTCGCAAACTCGTTTGCGTTTGTTTTACTTGAGAAAGTGATATCTGACTATATAACCAGGTGAATCTTCCCTCTTCACGACACACTATGAGATCACAACTGCTTGCTGTATTTGTTACTAGGTGTCGCTAATGCTGCCTTGGTAGTTGTTCTGCCAGTTGGAGCAGTGAACATATCTGTCATTGAGCGATCTACTTCCTGGAATAATGTCCGTAAGTTGTTCATGTCATGACCATCACAACTACACACACAAGCTYTATCGTCATCACAATCATATACAGATGMCTGSAAGTCCTTTCAACTGTCACTACCCAGATCACTTAATAATCCMAAACGCATTTTCAGCAAATAATCACTATGGCTTGTATCATAGTAGCTTCTAATACTAAAATTGTCTGTATTTAGTTTTTGATTTTTAAACGTTCGTTTTAGTTCTTACCCATATGGATGGTTCATTAGTGTACGGTGTCACTCATTGGAATATTACCAAATATGTGGCTGGTACAAAGGTGTTTGTTGGTCGTGGAACAGGCAATTATAAAGATCGATTCTATATACCAGGACCATTAACAAAGCAGCTACGAGTCATTGTAAGAAAACAAAAAGGAAGTAAAAAGTRAAAGMTAGAATAATAGATAAACAAATAGACAGATATCAAAKAAGAAATGAAGCAAATTAARTTGTTTAACAAAGCTTTATATATTTCAGTACTCCAAGGTATATGGAAGAAATCCTGGAATTGATTATGAGTTCTACCGCCCAATTGTGAAGCC